GATATATCAGTTGAAAAAGCAAAGTGCTCTAGAGCCTGCTCCTTGATGTTTGAGTAGTAAAATGAAATAATATACTTTGTGCAATTCTCTTTTGTACAAACTGCTGCACATCAGTCTATACACTGGCATGCAAACGTGTAACTATTAACACCAATCCAATTAACAATGTTACTTAATGACAGGCTCACAGGTAGAGGTCAGGTTAACAGTTGTTGGCAGGGGGTAGGGTAACTGGGTGAGAAGGGGAAGGGAGGGGAGGGATTAAAAAAGAAAAAACTCATGGACACAGACAATAGCATGGTGATTGCCAGAGGTGAAGGAGGGTAGGGGGATAAATGGTGATGGACAGAGACTTGACTTGGGGTGCAAACACACAGTACAGTGATCAGATGATGTGTTGTAGACTTATCCATCTGAAACCTGTATAAATTCATTAACTAGAGTCACCCCAATAAATTCAGTAAGAAGGGGAGAGAAAAAAAAAAGAATATCACTTAAGTGAATGCACATCAGTATTACTTTAATCAATGTTCCAAGCAAAGGACATTATAGTAAAACTCTGAGCCACACCACTTGATGAATCCTGTGAGCACTGTGAGACATGAGAAAAGAGAAAGCACCAGTTCTCAGTGGTGTGACCTTTTGAGGACAGGGACTCTGTCTTATTGACTATATTATCATCATCATAATTTAGGCTCCAGCAATGATCAAAATATACTCATAGCTGAGGGTTATAATTCTATTAGTAAATTTCCTTCTCAGCAATTACGTCCTGCACCCAGTTTTCCCTACTGTTAACATTGTTACATTCTCACAGTACATGAACAGACCTAAGAAATCAACATTGGTCCATTAACTGAACTCCAACATGGATCTGGATTTCCCTAGTTTTTTCACTAATGTCCTTTTTCGATTGCTGCATTCAGTCCAGGAAAATCCATGTTCCCTTGATCTCCTCTGGTCTATGATGGTACCTCAGTCATTCCTTCATTTTCATGAATTTAATAGTATTGAGGAATTTTTTGCAGAATATCCCTGTTTGGGTTTTTTCTCATGATTAGACTGGGTAGCCTGGGATTGTGGTTATTTATAACTATAGAGATGCCCTTTGCATCTTGGCATTTGGAGGATGACATGATACTAACAGAACTTCTCACTGGTGATGCTTCCCATGATCACTTGGTTAAGGTAGGGTCTGTCTTCCTTAACTGTGAAGTTACTCTCTTCTTCAGAAGTCATTTAGGCCAGCCCCCACTCAAAGGCAGGGATGCCAGAGGTCAAGAGCTTCCACAAGGATTTCGATATAAGAATGGTATTCTGATCAAAGTATCTTTTTACTTTTACAAGACATGGGTAGTAAATCCTTTCCTTAAGAATTGTCCAAAAGAAATAAGGAGAACAAGAAACAAAAATTGTAAACTTCACATTCTAAGAAATTTGAAATGAAAACCCTCAACACACATGGAAGGGTTGCCAAATGTAGAGATGAGAGGTGCAGAAAGATGTTGAGAGAAGATGCCCATCCCTGCAGCTCCCAGGCACGCTCAGCAAGAGAAGTCAGACAAAAGAAGAAATTAGAAAATTAAATGTAAAAAAAATTAGGAAAGAGGTAATAAAATTACCATCAATAGCAGATGTGATTATTTTCAAGTAAAACCCCAAAAATGCATTAACCATATTGTAAGTAATGAGCATTGAGTCATGTAGCTCTAATGGTTAATTTTATATATCAGTTTGGCTGGGTCAAGGGATGCCCAGATAGCAGGTTAGACATTATCTCTGGGTGTGTCTGTGGGAGTGTTTCAGGAAGACATTAGCATTTGGACTGGTGAACTCAGTAAAGCAGATGGTCCTCACCAGGTCTGAATAGAACATCAACATGGAGGAAGGCTGACTGTAGGAGAGCTGGGACATCAATCTTCTGCCTTTTTTGGTTCTCAGACCTACAGAACCAGACTGAATCTATTCTGTGGGCTCTTGCCCTCAGGCCTTTGGATATACCACTGATTTCCTGGGTCTCTAGCTTGTAGATATTGTAGGCCTTTTCAGCCTTCATAATCATGTGAGTCGATACTCTGTAACAAAGATGTGAGTTTCTGTTTCTCTGGGAACCCTGATTAATCAAGTACAAAATCAGCTTAAAAGAATATACATATTATAATGAAAAAAATCCCACCATTTATAGAATGCCAAACCATAAAATAAACCACCTTATGATGTAACTAAAAAAGAAATACTATATTGATAGTAACATCAACAATACATTAGTTATTGATTTAACACACAACCAATACTTACTACAAAAACAACTTCAAGGAGAAGGTAGAAAGACTGATTCCAATATTTATATAGAAAAATATACCCAGAAAAATTAAAAGTTATAGGGATGGAAAGTTGACCAGTGGAAGCCAGGGAGGGACTGGGTGGTAGGAGAGTTGACTACAAGGAGGGAATTCTGGAGTAGTGGTTGGATATACAAGTCCAAGTATTTGTCAAAACCCATAAAAATGTACAGTATAAGGAATATTACAGTATATAAATCAATAAGTCAACCAGGAAAAGAAAACAACCCATAAGAATAACAAAACAAAAAAAAATTGACAAAGAGATTAGGGGAAGCTAGCTCTACTGTGTCTGGTAGTTACAAGTAATCTAAACAGTGTGGCATTGGCTATTCAGCACAAATATCCTTGAAACCAACTACAAAGTTCAGAAATAGAAATACATTAGGAAATTTAGTACTTAACATTTGAAATCTAGAGAAAAAAAGATGTTGTTTTAAATACATACTATTGGGTAGCATTCTTCTAGAGGGGGAAAGAAAGTACCCTACCATCTATTAAAATACATTCCAGATGAATTCCAATTGAATAAAGGATATAAAACTAAAACATAAAACTTTTAAAATAGAAAAAATGGGAGAATTCTTCTATAATCATGCATTGAGGAAGACATTTGTATGACACAAAATGTGATAGTCATAAAAGATAAACTATACAAAAATAAAAAATTTCTCCAAGTATCATTTGCTTTAAAAATGTATATTCTATATAAACTTATTCCAGAAAGATGTGTGTAATACCAGCAACAGCGACTGCCTCTAGGGAATGATAGTAGAGAGACTGACACTAGAACTTTGGATTGATTATGCATAATTACCTATTTCAAAAATATAGTTTGCTCCTAATCATCAGCATAAATAGCTGAAAGCTCACAAAAAAAAAGTTGCTCATAAGAAACATACATTAATATGCTATTGAGATATAACATAGTGCCCAATATAGTGCTGAATACATAAGAGATGCTTAAATTATGTAGGTAGTTATTATTTGTCACTGTCTTCCTACAACTAATTATTTTGAAATATATCATTACTATTTTCAAAGTTGGGAATTCCATATATGGTATCACTGCACACTGTAATATTCCATTTTTCCAAGAATAATTTCAGTTAGTCAACAGGTAATTAATTGGAATCTTTAAATCACTGCCATTTAGGTCCTTTGATGCCTGATCAAATTCCCTTTTACTTACACTCCTGGCCAACTATGCTGGTTTACAATTCCTGAGCATGCCCTTACTTTCTTCCATATTTTTAAAAATAATGTTTCTTCTGTTCAGAGAACTGTACCCCATCTTTGCCAACCAAAATCATTATTCCTAAAAGGGCCAGTGCCAATCCCACCTATCCACAAACTAACCTCTACACAAACTTTGTGGGTAGGTATCCTATGTACACAGACATAAGAAAATAAAGGTTTAAAAAGATTTGTAAAGGCAGAACAATCCATTTAAAAAGTCATTTATTAAACAAGTTAAATACACATAAAAGTATATTGAAAAATCTAACTATTGGATCCCTTTGAAATATCTATTCTGGGTCTAAGAAGTATTTTCCAAACTTCTTACTGATAAGAGAAAGGATAAAAATACAACACATATTAAAAATTTTTAAACAATAAAGTACATGGTAAATTCAGAAATAAAAACAAAAACATACAAACCATTGAAGTATGAAGCCAAAATGTTCATGTCTTCTAAATGCCTGGGTATACTCACATGAAGGCCAAATTGTCTATGTCCAAGTTAGTAAAGTATCGACACCATTTTAAAGTATCATAATTGTGCCACACAAAATAATTTTAGATGTATTAGGTGTGTAATTTGTTAACATTTAGCAAATATATTCTATGTATGGACATATTCACTTATACTTAATGAAAAATAACATAATTTAAACATCTTTGATTTAAGAACTGGATCTGATGGTTCTGTTAAATTCCAAAATCATAATTGCCAAATGCATTATCAAAAGAGTTTTTCAAATTTTTATTTCTTTTCCCTCTCTCTCTCTCTCTCTCTCTCTCTCTCTCTCTCTCTCTCTCTCTCTCTCTTTTTTTTTTTTTTTAATAAAGCTGCTTCCAAAAATTTCAGGATTTTAGGGCAAAAGAAAATACCATGTAGTCTTGTTTATAAATTCTGATGCTTAGGTTCTACGGTTAACACACACACACAACATGCAATAGAGACTCCTATAGAAAAGCTTCTGTTTTCTTCAGTAGTTCCAAATGGTGTTATGTAATATGTCACTGGAAATAGTGGTTCCAGCACAGGCTTGGCAGTAGCTTCTGTTTAAAACTTTGCTCGATAACATCCATCAAAGGCTTTCAAACATACTTTCTGGCAGCACACATGGAGTTTGTGGTGTGAATGGGGACTGCCAGTGGGTATGAGGGCCTGTATGAAAAAGCGTTTGCTCTGTGTGTGGGGTGCATGTTGTGTGTGTGCACACTTTAAGGAGGTAATGGGATGAAATGGTTTATTCAGAACATAAACACATTTTCCTTATCACATCCCAACTGTGTAAATAATATAAATCAAATATTTAGAATTAAAATGGATTCTGAATTTCTCTGAGAGGCATTTTTTTTTTTTCCTTTTATCGTTCTTTACGGAAGCCAAAGCTTCAGTTATACCTCTTCCGGACAGAGGCAAAGGTCTCAGTCGGAGAGAGAAGGAGAGCGAATAGACCTGCCGCTGGCAGGGCTGGAGTAGGTGAAAGGCTCCTTGTCCTTCTCTTTGCTCTCGTGCTTGTGCTTGTGCTTATGCTTGTGTTTGTGCTTCTTCTTCTTCTTCTTGTGCTCATGGTGGTGGTGGTGATGGTGGTCACTGTGTTTGGAGGACGTCGATTCCTTAGAAAACACTGAGAGTGGAGCTGTTGCAACCGGATGCATACTCATCTCCAAAGGTGACTGCTCTTTACCTTCAAGATTAAAAACACCCAAATGAATTCCTGTTGATAACAAGGAAAGTGAAGTGAAAGTAAGAGAGAGTATAGAACAGAGGGATTCCTAAGTGTTTATTGCTTTAATGGGCATAATTAGGAACAGAAGTATCATCCAAATAAGTACACACAAACAAGTTTTCAGCATCATGGCCAGGAAGTTGATTATTTCAATTCCTATAGTCTATACAAATTATGACATATACCAATATGTTATCAAACAATCTTCTAAAAATTAATATTTACGATTTTAAAGTACTATGAAGAGACAATAATGATTACACTGCTATAGGTTAAGACCCACACTGGTCAATGAAAACATAGCTTCTTTAACCACAGCTGTGCCCTAAGCTATCGGGGGTAGGGAGGTAGTAGCTCGGTGTCTATGACATCGGGAGAACCACTTATACACACCTACTACATTATAACTTACTGACAGCAACATCCAAAAAAAATCCCAAATTTCTACAGTTCAGTAAGTTAATTTCTAGGAATGAATAGGCAAAGTGAATTCTTTAAGTATATTCAGCATCCTTAGCTTAAGAAACCTAGAAAAGGTAGGGAGTGTAGAAAGAGGATGTGTCACTTGAAGATAAGACTCTTATAATTAAAAACAAAACACAACCTGAGAATTAGGAGATCTGTGCTCCAGAACAGGCTCTGCTATTAACCTTGAGCATGTGTTTATCCTTCTCTATCTCACCCAAAAAATGGACCAAATGTCTTTCAAACTTCTTTCCATTTCTAACATTCTATCAGTTTATGAATCAACAGTAGTTTTCAGACTCCAGTGTCCAAAAATTGCTTCCTCCAGGCCCGATACTCCTTGGGCCAAGCCCTAAGGAAAAATTCTTTCTGTGTTATTCTAGGTTAATGTTACTGCCTTACTTGCAGCCAACTAAGAAAAAAGCCCAAGAATTATCTCAGAGCCCATCCCTTCGAGATCTAGTTGATTACACCAAGTCTTGTTGATTCTCACAAGTGTCTCTTAAATCTGCTCCCTAACCTTGTCTGCAAGTGTATTAATTCCTACCACCTCACCTCACCGGGATTACATAGTACTAGTCTAGCCTTCTATTATTTGGTTTCTTGGCCTGCAGTGTCTTCTACTCAGATCCATACTTGACAAAGCTGCACAGCAGTAATTCTCAACTTGGGGCACTGTTCCCCAAGGGTTTATCTGGCAATGTCTGGACACATTTTGGTGTCACCACTGGGATGGGATTAGGGGAGGAAGTGTGACTGGCATACTGTGGGTAGAGACTAAGGATCCTGTCAAACAGCATACAATGCATAGGAAAGCCCCTACAGCAAAGAATTCTCATGGTCCAAATGCCAATGGTGATCAGGTTGGGAGACCCCGCTACATAGAGGTCTTCCTAAAAACAAAGCTGATCATACTTATCTGCTGAAAAGCTCAGTTCAGGCAACAGAATAAAAGCCAAATTCTTTGAACGCCAATGAAACAGTTTCTGAAAAAGTATTTTTTTTATCCAAACTAAAAAACTAGGCTTTGCACTGAAAAGCAATCATTTCTTTTCTTTTTTAAAAGGTAAGTTCTCAGCACTGATTCTGATCTAAGCTAGTCCCAAACCATTTTTTTAAAATAGGCATCACTACAGATATTTTCTAAAATCACTTTTAGCACTAATGTTGTTTACAGTTTATAATCTGTCTTGAACTTCCCTTTCCAGCCTTATCGGCCTATATTCCTTTCTGTATACTCTAAGCTAGCTCTTCCACAACTCCACGTATTTGTAAAGGCTCCTCCCTGGGCTTCAAATGCCCTTCCCTTATTTCTTATCCAACTTGCACATTCATTTAATAAATATCAGGAATGAACCTGACAGACCAAGTCTTCTTGGAGCTGACAAATAGCAAAGAAGAAAGAAATGGAATAACCACACCTGAGTAGTAAAAAGACCCAATATAGAGCAGGAGCAGAACAAGAGGCTTAAATTAGTTGAGGGTGGAAGTTGAAGGAAATCAGAGGCAAAATTCTCCACCGAGTCATGTTTAAGCTAACATACAGAAAGGGATATGGAAAGAGAAAACATTTTAAGTTCTTTAATAATTTAAAACTCAGCTCAAATGTTATTGCTTTGAGAACTTTCCCCCAAAATGACCTCACCCTAATTAGTTCTTTTATATTCCCACAACATAACACAGATGAGAAACTTAAGGCACAGAGAAATTAAATAATTTGCCCGAGGTTATACTGGCAGATCTGAGCTACAAAACCAGAGCCTGACACTCGAGTCCCTACTCTTAACCATTCTACATGTTGCACAGCACACATGTAGCCCATCCTTTATCCTTGGTCTCTTTTGTTAGACTCAACACTTCTTGAGGACAGAGAGCCTATTTTTTTAATTTTTGTATCCCAGTGTGTCCACAGTGTCTAGCAGCTCTACACTCCCACCTCCTTAACCCTGCCGAACCTTACTAACCAAATGAATATAACAGAATTATATAGCTGTTGTGTTTCTTTTTAAATAGAATGTCAGATGAACTTAATTCAACTAAATGCAACTGAAGGTCACTAAATTTGAAGGCAGAGGGATAAAGCACAGAAACTGTGATAGGTCCTCCAATTGGTATTGACTGACTACTGTACTTTTTGTGTCAGGCACTGTTCCAATTCATCTGCCTATTTCAGTTTTTCATAACAAAGCATTTTTTAAAAAGGAGAAGTTAAGGCAATTTGGCTTTATTCAAGAAAATGTTACTCTTTGATTGAAATAGTTCATTTCCAGAAATTTATTCCACAAATGTGCAAAGACATATTCTAATATTTATCAAACTAGTATTTGTAACAACAACACATCTGATAAAACTAATGTTACTCTTATCACTACCACCAACATTTATACTTTTATCTAACCTTTAGCTCCTAAGTTTCATTTATTATAGATAATATATTTTTTATTTGCTGAACCTCTATCTTTCCTAATTTTTACCAGGTCTAATCCAACATGATAAGAAAATGTAATTTCCTTCCCATGTGGAATTGTATATATAACAGTCAGATCTGGGACACATATGAGATTACTTTCACACTAGCATAAGAAGGTCATCTATAGAATTTCCACTAAGAAAAATGCATACAGTACCATCCCTACCACAAACATTTTTACACATTACATCAGGCATTTATAAAATGGCTGGGAACTTGAAGCCCAAAGCTAGGCACCACTCATTTTTAAGTTAATGAAAGCCCTTTCAGTGACATGAAATGTATGTCCCTATTGTAGGATAGCAGATGTATCAGAAAAAAGGAGATATCTATATCTATTTTTCTATCTATAAAATTTACATTATGATTTTCTACTTCATATTATACAGAAAGAATCAAACAGATGTCCAGTTTTGTTATTCTACCCAACATAAGCTCTTTCTTAAGGGACCAAATAAAATGCATTATGGATAAGAGTTTGCTGCCATCAATTTAACAAATGCAAAACAAACAGAAATAGGTACAAATGCAAAACAAACAGAAAACCTAATGTGGAAGTTTTTCAGCCCTTCACAAAAGTGCTGGTAACAGACAGTGAATAACCTGCTACGTCTAATCAATTCATTCCCATTAGATATATGTTTATATTTAAGACAAAACCTGCAGTTTCTATTAGGATAATTGTAAAGTCTGTTCTTTGGTTTCTTTAGATCACTGTAAAAAAAAAAAAATACAGAATTATGTAATTATAATTTAAGAAAAAGACCAAAGTCTGTTTTTCATATTAAGAGTTTCAAAAGAAAGAGCTAGAGGGCTCTCAGCTTTTTTGATATTTTTGTTTCAAAGGGTTTCATGCATAAGAATAGTGCTTTGCTGACTTATGCCAGAAGTCATCACATAACACAGCAGGCCCAACTAGGAGCTCTCCTCTTCTTCCCCACAGAAACCACTAGGGTTTCCCTTGGCTCCTGCTCCCGTCCCTCCTCTCCGCTTTCATCACAGCAATGCCTGCCCGCAGACCAGGCTGCAGTGGTGGGAGAGAGGGCTTGGTATGCATAACCAAGTCACCATGGGAACCATAAACCCATTTCTACAAATCTCATTCCTGACCTCAGGAGAGAGAAAACAGTATAACGTAATGAAGGTATAAAAAATACCCCTGCTGCTTCTCCTCTCTTGTCCCAAATGGCTTAACCTCCCGCACATGTATCATCCCACCCCTAAAATATTCTTCTCACTATCATATGCAAGGAAAGAGAAAATTGGGGGAAAGGTTAAACCATGGCCTTTCCTTTAAACAGTTTGCAGTTCTTCTTTATCTGACCTAAACCCCCATTCCCTTTCCCTCCTCCCAAATAACATCTGCAACACATTGCAGTTCTCAATTATCATCTGGCTGGCTCCGAAGACCCAAACAGGGGTCCCAAACTTAAAAGCCTTGGCCTGAGGAGACAGCATAAATGAGCACAGACTACCAGGTGCAAACAAATGGAATCAGTGTAATAGCACATCCCTGCCTGAAGGGGCTTCTCAGTTCTTCAAGAGAAGCTGGGAACCCAGATTTTTATGTGCAATCTCTTCATTTTTAGTCAACTACAAAAAAACCTTATAAGACTTCTGGAGATCAAATAAAAGTTGCCTCGGTTGAATGAACTGAGTAAGGTCCCCAAATCCATTTGCAAACTTGACGATCACTAGAGACTTAAGAACACAGCTTCCCTTACCACTGTGTTTCATGCCTCTTTTTCTGAACCCCTATTCCCAATCCCAGGCCAAGATCAGAAAAGGAGACCCCTGACTCCTCCTGCTGGGGGCAGGAAAAGGGAAGTTCCTGTTTCACTGCCAGCTTTACTAGGTTAAAGGTGTGCTTCTGACATTCCAAAAAGTGGAGCTGAAAGTGCCCCTTCTCTCAGAAACATGGTTACACACAGTGCCTAGGTTTCATACTTCTGTTCTTCAGGTGTAAGTTAAAAAGGTTTTTGCTGTGTATTTTGGGAAACTTATGTAGCAAATATAGTAATGTTATCTACAGGAAAACTATTTAGATCCCCAAATAAATACATGTAGAAATAAACTTTTGGAACACTACCATTTGTAAAAGATAAGACTTACTCATTGGTTATAGGGCACTGAACAGCATAAATATGTTTGAAGAAATTACAAAGGCACATTAAAGAATATATTCCAAATTAAGTTTTATCGATCAATCTATATATAATATGTTAGTATACATTTTGTATCATGACACAAAAGAGTGCTACACCAATCAAAGCTAAAACTTTAAAGCTTTCCTAACACCCCAACTCACCCTGTATTTCCTCCCCTGTCTTCCCAAATGATACTATGAGAAGTACAAGACTGCAAAGAGAGAGTCCCAGAAATATGGCACAATAATACAAAAGCATATTGGTGGGCATAAAAAAGTATTAAGATTTGCTGCTTCAGCCTAGCTGGTGTGGCTCAGTGGTTGTCAACCTATGAACTGAGAGATCATGGTTCGATTCCCAGTCAAGGAACAAGCCTGGGTTACAGGCTGGATCCCCAGTAGAGGATGTGCAGAAGGTAATCAATTGACATTCCTCTCTCATCACTGATGTTTCTATTTCTCTCTTCCTCTCTGAAATCAATTTTTTCTTTTTTAAAAAAAGGTTTGTTTCTACATAGGTTAGTGTGCCACATCACTGAGAAAAAACCAACAAATATATTTAGATTATTTTCTGAAACAGGAATTAATTTGACTTAGAATTCAGACAGAATTTTTTTTTTAAAAGGCATAAAGGCTCAGCAGAAGCATCACTCTCAAACTATAACAAGAGATTTGAAACACTTTACGTTTTATAATTTTTTAAAATGCAGAAAATTTTTCATGTTTAGTAAAATTTTAAGAAGAATAATGATAACACAGCAAAATTACACCAACAACAAATCCCCTAAAAAGCCAAGAGAATACAAAACTAGCAAGGGTCAAAAAATGTAAAAATTCCCTTGTACTAAAGTCTTCAGCTGGTTTGCTTCTAAAATATATTTTAGGAACTTAACACAATGAATGCATAAAGCACACAAAGAGATATGAGCACCCAACAGCTTGGGGTCACAATACCAAAATATTTTGAGGTGTTGCTTTTGTTTGAAGTCTCCCCTTAATCACAGTTGGTTCCCTACGCTCCTCAAATCAATAAACAGAAAACTCTTTTGTTTCTATCATAAAAGCAGTGTTTATATAAGCAAACCCATCCCTTGAAATTTTAAAGCCAGATTAATGACTTTTGGAAAAACTATTCATTAAAAGTGATTTTGGTTATGTATCTAGTTTTTCACTCTCTGTTCCTCCAAAACTTGAAGACTGAACTTTTTCAGCAGTTTTGACTGTTTACTCCTTATTTGGATTATAATCTTCCCTTTGCAAGAAACAGAAGAACAAAGTAAGCAGAAGACAACGTAAAATAGTAGAGTAGTTAATAAACATATCTGAACTGAATTACCTTTCATAAACTTAAGCCCGATCAGTATGAAATAATTTAAAAGTCAAAACATGTGAATTCTGTAGGCACAGCATTAAGGGTTCTGATTGAAGCAATTATAAAACTTTCAGGGGCAAGCAGAGAGAAATAAGTAGTTGATTTGTATATTTTCTGAAAGTACAGAGGCTGGATTTGATAATTTCAACTAAAGGTGGCATTTTCATATTATTCTCAAATAAAGCACTACAAGAGCAAAACGTTAGCTTTAACTGACATAAAATGATTTCCTCCTTCCTTTCTACTTTTCTGTTATTACCAAGTCTTACAAAATACTACAAATTCAATGTGTTGCAAGATCTATATATTTTATGTATTTTTAAGTTAATAGAGAAATTCCATATTGTATTCCTGAAACAAATGTAATATTTAATGCAAAAAAAAAAAAAAAAGAAAATAAGACACTTTATGAAATTTACAGATTTGTTTTTTTGAGCAAAAAAAAAAAAAATAATAATAATAACAATAATTTCACCTGTTCCCTTCCGTGCAAGTTCCATCCCCCACTGGGGCTTTATGACAGGTGTGCCATCACCCCCTGGTGAGTGCTGAGGCATTAAAGCCCGAGAGCTAGCTGGCCGATATTTAGAGAGCCCTAAAATGCCAAAGGAGAAGGAAAAGATGAATTAATTCCTTTATTTCCCCAAAGAAAGGCAGAAAAAAAGAAAAAAGCCTGGCAGGTTTTTATATCCTAGCCTGTAAACCAGAAGCAATTTAACAAAAAAATTCTAATAATAAAAATAATACATTTTTGCCCTACCGGTGTGGCTCAGTGGCTGAGCACTGACCCATGAACCAAGAAGTCAAGATTTGACTCCTGGTCAGGGCACATGCCTAGATTGCAGGCTCGATCCCCAGTAGGGGACATGCAGGAGGCAGCCAATCAGTGATTCTCTCTCATCATTCTTCCTTCCTCTCTGAAATCAATAAAAATATATTAAAGGTAAATATATATATATTTTAAAGTAAAAATAAATAAATAAACAACAAATGTAGAAGTATAAGCATGCCAAATATTGAAAAAATAAAATGGAAAAAGAACACTTTTTGTATTTAATCTTTTACTCATATGTGTTAAATCTGATACAGTCTAATATTTCACTTTATACCGGCTACTTTCAAGCTTTACAGTTGTTCACTTGAAGATAAAGCAACACACCCCAGAACAGTGGTACCTTGTGAACCCTCTTAATCGGCCCAGAAACTGCAATACACTAATCTTACCTGGAGTAGATGGTCTTTCCAGCATGTTCAAATGATGAGAAATGAATGCCTGGCTGTCATGTACAGTATCCATATCAACCTCCTCTTCCTCTTGAGAACTTGAAAACTAAAACACACACATAGAACAAAAGAGAAAAAGGGCCATTATTTCACGTTATGTTTGGATCTTAGCTCTTAGGAAAAGTAGCAGAGAGGCCACAGGATATACCCCAAATAATCTTAAAAGGAAAAGTAGGCTCTTTTTCTCAAAAAGAATAAGGCAGAGAAAAGATTATGTGGTCCAGCCTCCAAAAGGAGCTGAAGGGAAATTGCTGAAAATGTAACAGCAACTAAAATCTATTCCTACGTAATGGGAGAGTAGTGAGCTGAGGCAGATCGTGCACACATAGTTCCTCCCCAAACAGAGAAGAAGTATGTGACAATAGAAGTTAAACAATCGGTTGGAATGTTTTAGAGATGGACATTTGGGTTCTTTTATGATTCAGTCTGTCCCATCTGTTCCTAAGGAAAAACCAAGTATTCATCAAGATTTACAAGAAGGTGAATACCCTACACTGTTAATACAGGTTTAACCTGTATTTCTTACTCTGATTTTGAGTTTGACTTTACTGCTATCCTCATTCTTCTCCAGTATTTGACCAGGTTCTAGTGGGGACCCCAGTGGTGTATCAGACTTCCTCTTCACTCCCTGCTGATGAGCTGATATATTACATGATGCTTCCTTGGCAAGATGATCACCTTCCTGCGGCAATATTTAAGATCAAAATTAGATTTCTGAAAACAAGTAGCTATTGCAAACTAATAGCTATTGCAACCATGCAGATTAGAGCATGCCCAATGCCTATAAGTTATCAGCAATGGGCTAGAAATAAATTTCACCTTTTCCTGTCTGCTAATTTCTTGGGGAAAGAAAAAAGTTATTTAAGTGAACTTTCAGAGCTTTCCCAAAGGAATATATGTTTTGGTGTCATTTTCTCATCTTATCCTAAAGACTCAAAGTGTGAATATGGATAAATTAACATATATGTGCAAGAATTATGAGCATATTCACTTCCATAGATTTATAACTATTCAGATCTGAAAGAGCTCTTTAATGAGACCTTTTTTCCCTATGTCTTTCTTCTTCATAACCCAAACTCTAGGATACATTTTAAATTTACAATAAATAAGTAAAATTATATTTCAGAAAATCTAGGTGAATAAGTCATTTGAAATGACTAGTTCTAACTAACATAGACAGAATCTGAGTGTTAAAGTGCCAAAACACCAGTAGGGAATTGCCAGGCAAGTAATCTGGTCTAAATATTGGTGAAAAATGAAGCTTTAAGTATTGGGAACATTTTGTCATCAATAAGAAAATTATTTCTGAAAAATGTCCTTTAAATTACAGTAAAATGGTTGATATGTATCCTAAAGGTTTTTCTACAAAAATCTGGTAATTTTATAATACATAGCTAGAAATAAAACTTTTTGAAAGGCAAACATAATATATATAAAATTTTAAAATGTAATGCCTAATCTCCTCCCAAATCAGATTACTCATTTACGTGACCATTTATTATCTTTCTACTTATTTAATTCAAAAAGTTTTTCATTTGGTTGGCACTCATTATGTTTTGAACTGTGTTAGGTATTACAAAGAGTGGGGGGGGGGGGGGGAAGTTCAGTGTTCCATTACCATATGAACAAGAAGGTTAACATATAACAGGTTAAATATTCATGTCAATTTTCTACTACTTAACGAAGAAATTCTATGCTCAGTATAAACAATCATTATGTTGTCATAAAAGGAGTATAGGAATGGCAGCACTATGTAGTTGTCAGTAGCACTTTGTCAACTATACAGTGCTAAATGAATGCCAGCAGTTTCTCAAACGGTACCAAAAAAAACTGTTTGTGGCTTTAAAACTTGCCAGTTCAAAAGAAGCAATTCTCTAGAGAGCTCAATATAATAAAATTACATCTGTAACACATGCAATTCTTACAGGGTTCTGAAATCCAACTAGCTGTGCATGGCCACTTGGATTAATTGCAGTTTCTTGGTTGCCTGTGATGGCCTCTGGAATGATGGTTGGATTCAAGACAGCTTTTTTCTCTTTTAGATTAAGAACCAACCCAAGCTCTGGCAAGGGTAAGCAGGAAGGTCTACTGAGGCCAAAAAGTGTGAAGTACAAGTCCACAGCACCACACCGTAGCCTCCAGTCATGTGAAGTACCTAAAAAGTAAATAAAAAATGAAACTCAATATATACATCTAACTGTACATTTTCATGTTCCAGAACTTGTGCAGAGGAAATGAAAGGATTATCATGCTTAAAAAGAGCCATCCCTTGACGTAGGCCCCACTGGAAAACCCTCTACCCTAAAAATGCATCTTATCTTAACACAGATATTTATAAATTGTTACATAAATAATCAATATTTGTGAATGAATTAATGAACGTTATAATTGTTTTTATCATCACACCATTCTTCTTTAGAAAATGAATTTTTAAAAGTAATGTTTTCTGCCTTTAAAATATTTTCACCACATCATTCATTCTCAGTTCACCTTGTCTGATTTTCTTCTTTAAAAATCTTGTTAGAAAGACAGTGCTCCATGAACCTTCATGAACCCAAGCATTTGAAACATATTCTAACTCTCAAATTTATTATGTTCAGGTTTTATGTAAATATAAGAAACTCTACAGCTACTTGAAATAACATAATTATAAAATTGGACTTACTGTAGAGGAGGAAAATAGTTTACCAAACACCTTTATATTAGTGTTCATATACTAGGTGCTTGTTTAAAAAAAAAAAAAAAAGGTTTTATGCCCTAAAAACTATTAAAAACATACCCACAGAGAGAGAGAGAGAAATGGGAAGAACAATATAAAATGATAGGAAGAATTTACACTGGAAATCCATTCCCTTCTCTGGAATATGCGTATCTGGACACTTTACTGGCCTGACATTGCTTCAGTTTTGAAGGCCTTCATTATTCTTCTCAAACCATCAGAATCCTGGGCCTTTCACACAGAGGCTGGAGGGGCTCAAGCCTCTAAAAGAAGGGAGGGATCCTGACAGAGCAGCTAGCCCTGTATTTATGTATTCGTGCATGTAGCAAGAAAAGGAGTAAATCTTAGGCATTGTATCAGCTAGGAAAACAAGAATGGTTTAGGGTACATTTGTACTGGAAGAAAACCCTGAAGAACAATATCACCTAATTAATTATGTCTGCTGCCATCCTGACCATTTTGTTATAGATGTCATTGAAACCAGTTAAACAACTGAGTTTGAATTCTTGAAGCTTATAAAAATTATTTCAATTTAAAAAACTATTATTTTAATTTTTAAAAGCAAATAAAAGTGTGTTTTCATAAGCTAGGATGTTCAGTTTTGTGTTTTCATATGTTAGGATGTTCAGATTAAGGATAATTAGGCAGCATAGTGAAGGCTGCTAATTTCACTAAACCACTACACTACCCCTTTTTACTTTTTTTATATGATTCTACTGATTCTTTTTTTTTAGATTGAGAGGAAGGAAGAGAGATAGGCAGGAACATCAATGAGAGAGAGAAACTTTGATCAGCTGCCTCTGCCTCCTACTGGGAATCAAGCCTGCAATCTGGGAATGTGCCCTGATCGGGAATCGAACTAGTAACCTTGGTTCACAGATCGAAGCTCAACCACTGGGCCACATTGGCTGGTCTATGGTTTTTACTTTTTATTTCTATGTGGAATTTTTGGTTTGGGTTTACTTTTAGTTTGGATGGAGGGATTAACATTACTGTTTTGTTTCTGAGGGAGTTCCTCATAGTATGTTTTCCTTCAAATAATTGATTTATAAATATTAAAATTTAAGGCTACGAGAGAGCTAAAAAATAGAATAGTGGTGCTTCTGTTAAAATTCCAAAAAAAAAAAAAAAAAAAAAAAAAAAAAAGATAAAAAAATCAGAACTGCCCTGTATTTCAAAACCATGGAATAAAATCTTTCATTATAGTGGAATTAAGTTGAGCAGCATTATGGGAAAAATCACTTCTCCTTAATTCAGTTAGCTGTGTGATCTTGGGCAAGTCAAATGCCTGGGCCCTAAAGGAGAGTAGTTAACTTAGCTGGTCTTTAGATCCTCTTAATATCTAAAATGCTAAGATTCCAAATCAATCAATTCCCCTGGACAGAGGCCCTGGAACAGCTGCCAATGTCTGTGACAACATTTTGAAGACCCTCTCACCCCAATCACTGACACGGCAAGGAATGCTCATCTATAAATACAACGGCTTATTTTCAAATTGTCCACTTGGGAGTTCGACCAGCAGAGCAGGAGTTCAATTGCTTGCTATGACATGTGCTGACCACCAAGGGGAGCTTGGAACATAGCAGGCGACCAGCAGCAATGGCAGGGCACTGAGGGAGCAAGGGAAGGAGGAGGTGGGGAGGCCAAGCCTAAGGATCCTAATTTCGTGCACCAGGACTCTGGTATATTGTCATCACTTTCTTAATGCTGTCCATTCTGTCTTCATTGGCAGTGAAACTTACCGTAGGTACCAACCCTGCTTACCTGGATCACAATAGCACTCAAGAAAAAAGGAGGAAACCAGTATTAATGTTCTCTATTCAAATCAGAAAGTATATGAAGACAAACCACCAAATAGCAAATCCAATCCCAAAAAAAGATCATCTCTTCATTTTTGAAGTAATTGCTATTAAAGGTGATCAAGCCAAAAAGCTGCTAAGAAGCTCACTTTAAAAGTCACTTTTTCAAGACATTTTTCAATAATGTCCTTATAGACAGAAGCATGAAAATGTGTATAAAGTGGGACCAAATGGCAGTTCTGTCCCATCTTTCTGTCCATCTTACACTAAGTAAAACACAGCAAATTTCATTTTTATTTGTATGTGTATACATATGTAATTTCCTAAGAATAAAAGAAAAACACGTATTTTTCAACCCTTTGTAACCTTCTGAAATAAAAACAATAATACTTTGCAGGTTAATATTTAAAGCTCTTTAACTATCTGAGACACTCACATAAATTAATATTTTTGTTTCTTCAATCACCCTTTGGGACAAAGTGAGTGAATATATCCTTAGCAAATGTTATCACATCCACCACTGTGAAGGTAGATGTGTTAAGTAGCCTATTTAAAAAAAAAAAAAAAAAGTAAACCACAGTTCTTTAAGTATTGAAAACATGTTACAAAATGAAAATAATCCAGTCATAATTTTGTTTATTTAAAGTTACTGTTTTCTTACCCGAATTCATAAGTTTCCAAAGTTGATCTACCAGGGCTTCATTGCATAAGGGGGACTCCATGTTCTTAGTAAATGGTGGGTTCTTAGTCAACATGTGTAGAATCTTATGTCTGGAGGGGAAAAATTAAAATTTTGTCTATCATTAAATTAAAAATTTTGAAAATTACCCGTAGTTCCTTCTTCCTATTTTATCATCTCCCTTCTTAGATCTAGCTTTGTGCTTAAATTTCAATTCAAAAGGTTTATATTACTATACACCTTTTATACTGCCTGCCCCCCCCCCCAACTAAATTCTGATGGGTTTTCTCTTTCTAAAATTGTCTTAGGGTAAAGATCTTCTAAAACCTGACTCTGTGTATTCTTAACCAATCATTCCCTGTCTGCTTCTAAAAATGAATGTTTTATTCTTCTTAGAAAAGTTTTAAGGAAAAAAAAAACTGATCCGAAAATATAAAAATCTTAAAATGGGGCAAAAAAAAAAAAAAATCACATATAGGCCAAGAAGTCTACATTTGAGATAATACAAATGAATATAATTTTGTTATTATAGTATCTTTATAAAGCATGGAAATGTGCAGAAGCATTTTAAATATGGAGATTGCAAAACGTTTCCTCAAAATAAGCTGAGATTTAGAAGAGTCAGTTATAACAAAGATCCTTACAGATGGCAACAGTTATACTCTGCTATTAGGAGTTTTTACCTGAACATATGGAATCTTCTGAAAAACACCATAAAAAGAAGACAGAGAAAGAAAAGAAGCAAGGAGGCTCTGATAGTAATTTAACATTTAGTAAAGAGATAAAATCCAGGCCTATGACAAGGTCTGAGAAATTCAAGCCTCAGAGTAATGGCATGCTTGGATACAATACTGAGGTTATATTTTCTATCTATGCTAGCAAAACTTTAAAGAAGGTGGTGAACCTGGGAAATTTTTATATTTAATTATTGGTGGAAAGATATTAAGTCAGATTAGTACTTGAGAAAGAAATGGGAGAAAAATGGACTAGTAGGTTGTAGTTAAGTCACTTAATCCCTTTCGAATTCAATTTTATGTCTGTAAAACTGAAATATGTGGACTCTCCTTTTGTGCTTTGAAATTTTAAGGCCATATTAGAGACTACTGAAAGGCTATGAGAACAAACAAAACTTTATGGTATTTATGCAGATCAGTGCACTCTTTATAGCCACGCCAAAGAATTGTAAAGGGTATTCTGGGGATACCTTTGAAATTATTACTAAAAGAGCAGTAATGATTAATACATGTATTACTTTTAACAATTAAACATTTCTTTAAAAGGTTTATTTTTCTTTAACAGAAGAAACAGACAACAGAAGGAAATTTTTTACAATAGAATATTTATAGATGACTAAATACTCAAAAGGAAATAAAATTTAAGGAAATACGATGAGAATTTTATGTTTAATTTTTGCAGAGATTAAATATCAAAACTCACAATAAGCATATGTTTCAGACATCTGGAACAAACCAGAAGCAAGTTTGATGCTTCTAAGAAAGTCATGGGTTTATGTCATATAGATAGCAGCCAAAACATGGTATTATTTCACTAGACAATTGAACAGTTTTTTGGTGGGCTAGTCAAATACCATTGTCAATCACTATCTATAGAAATGGAGTCAAACCAAAACCAAAAAAAATATTCAAAAACTCTCATGAGAAAAAGCACTGAATTGATACACTGTGATCATATGCATGCTTGATTCCAAAATAAGAAGATAATTCCATGTCATCTTTAAAAATAGCCTATTCAACCTAATGCAATATAACTAATACATACTATGTTATTTGTCAATTATACCTCAATAGAGAAAGAAAAGAAGAAAAAAAGATGGAACAAAGAAAAAAAGACATAGTTCCTATTCAAATTATAAAACGTAGAGAAACAAAAATAGAGACCAATGTCCCAAGACACAAAAAGACCACATAAAATAACTGTTGTGTTAACACTTAACTGCCATTAAATATTTTTAAAGGCACGTTGAGTTTTTCAATTGATTTTAGAGAGAGGGGAAGAGTGGTAGGGAGATAGAAATATTGATGAGAGAGAAACATTTATCGCCTGCCTCCTGCAAGCCCCCTACTGGGGACCGAACAACCCTGGAACATGCCCTGATGGGGAATTAAACTGGCAACCTCTTGGTTCATGGGTTGAAGCTCAACCACTGAGCCACCCTGACATGTTGAATTTTTTAAACTATGAGTAAACTATGGGTTAGATGATTTTAAGTAAAGGCTAAGAAGTTCCCCATTGGTGCTCTAAATGAACCACATGAATTAAGAAGAAAGTATGTCAAAAATAATCATGAAATATTATCCTTAAAGAGATTTTCATCTTGGATTATAAATATTAGAGCTCTTGAAATTTGAATGACAGTAAAAGTTTTACAACAATATTTAAAAAGCAATTATTTATACTGTACAGCATATAATTCAGAAATATAAATTTTAAAATATTAAATAATTTCATAACCTGCTTAAAATAGTTTTTGAAACACAATTCTAAGATCTCAAAAATATGCATCTTTTTTTAAAATACATTTTTATTTATTTCAGAGAGGAATGGAGAAGGAGAGAGAAGCATCAAAGATGAGAGAGAATCATTAATCATCTGCCTGCTGGACGCCCCCTACTGGGGATCAAACCACAACCAGGGTATGTGCCCTTGACTGGAATCAAACCCTGGACCTTTTAGCCCACAGGCTGATACTCTATCCACTGAACAAACCAGCAAGGGCAGAAATAGGCATCTTACTGTTAGTTCTGTTGATGTGTATTGAAAACAAATGAATACATGGTAAGTTTTACTTATTCTGTATTTATGCTTTCTGTTCCTACTTGCTATCAGTAGGATCTTACTATAAACTTTCAAATGCATAAGCTCTGCCAGAAAAGAGATATAGGCAGGTCTTTTGCACATCATCTTTTATATAAATATGTATTTTAGAATGAATGATTATAAGATATTTTGTCGATGTAACATTTACCCTTATCATATAACAATCACAAGACAAAATATTTAAAATACAATTTAGATCACAATGAAGAACTATAAAAATTAACAGTAAAATTTTGTATAAAGAAGATTTATATAATAAGCATCGTTTTAAAACACTTAAATATAAGGTGATTTAACCAAAGAGCTGAAATGTCTTATGTGAATTCCTCATGCCCAGATACATTTCAGTGAGGTTAGAAGGCAGAGTTTGTTAGACTTTTTAGAAGAAAATAACTACCTGCCAACTGGTGTATAAAATTGAGCAACACAATTAATGTCCAGCTCTATGTTCTTGTTTCCAGTTGGAATGGCTACAACCTAAGTGACTTTCCAGGCGCCAACATTTATTTTATGAAATCATAATGTTAAAATGAATAAAAATTTAAGTGTGTAATATGTGCAACAAAAGACAAAAATTATTTTAAAAAGTAATCCTATTTGATTAAACCATAAACATCTTACTTTGCAAAAGAAAGCAGCAAAAAGATTATAAGGAAATACAAAAACAAAAATAATACCGCCTACTTAAAAATATTAAAATTTTATATGAGATAGAAAAGAACAAATGGAATATACCAAAACATTGTTCTTAATTATTTTTAAAGTAAGTTCAGCCAAATCAGTAGAGGTTTCATAATTTGGGGTACTTACAGGATCCTTTAGATGAACTAAAAACTATTACATAAGCTTTCCTTAAGTTAAAATAGAAAGTATATGTAAAGTTACAGAAAATAAGTTTTATTTATTAACAGCATATTTTTAAACATCTTCTCAAGTCAAATCAAGTTAATAAATTTAGAAAGGGTGTGATAAAAGCCTAACATATTCCTATGTTTTCAAAAATAAAAAAGACTTGTTGCATGTATAATCTTCTGAAATTATTCAATTTATTTTAGGACTTTAAAAAATAATTATTAGCCCTAATCGGTTTGGCTCAGTGGATAGAGCGCCAGCCTGCAGACTGAAGGGCCTCAGGTTCAATTCCGGTCAAGGGCATGTACCTTGGTTGCAGGCACATCCCCAATAGGGAATGTGTAGAAGGCAGCTGATCGAAGTTTCTCTCTCATCGATCTTTCTAACTCTGTATCCCTATCCATTCCTCTCCATAAAAAAATCAATAAAATATATTTTAAAAAATAAATAAAAAATTATTAGAGCACAATAACTAACCTTACATAGGGTACAGGGTCATTCTGAATCATATTAAGGAGCCACTGAAGTTCTTCATAACTCCTGTCCACTGAAAATAAAAATAAAGAAATATATTTGTTGCAATTATAACCAATTAAACATGTGACAGGGAAGGGGTTCACACTTAGTAGTTAGGACTCTCCCTTGACTGGATTTAAATTAGAGCTGAAAGCTGCAGACAACTTCTTTACGTTTTTCCCCCATGTAATAGACCACTTTGTAAATTTTATAAGTATTATGCTATATGCAGCCAAAACATAAAACAAGACCAAGATTATATTTTTCACTATAGCTCAAAGCAATGGCAAACAAAACAAAGCAAATTATAATTTATTGAGCCCTATATTATAATTTATTGAGCCCTAAATATAAATGGACAGAATGTACTTAAATAAAATTGTATTTCTAAAAGCGTAAGTCAAATTATAGAGGTCTGATACTCAATGGTATCTCAACTATATTATAAAGTGAACTGTTTTTGCCCAAGCGGTTTCTTTCATCTAAGACCAAAAAGCAGACTTAACTTTCAACATAACATAAAAAGCAATTACAAAAACCGCGCTATAACTATAATTAACCAATAAAATGACTCATTAGCTATTTCCACTCACCTTTTCAACAAGTTTTGCTATTATGACTTGAAAAGCTTTATTTTCATAATTTTATTTCTAATAGTTTCCATTTTCAAATGATCTTCAATTCATGGATCACATTTAAACACCTCTCAACAGCTTAAGTTCAATTTCACTGACACCTATCAAAGTATTCTATTACTTCTTGGATTATTTCTTTTTCTGTCACCTGCTCCTTTCTTCATGACTTACATTTCATCTCTTTATATTTCTCCTCTGTATTTCTGAAAATGTTTTGACTCTGTAGTTTTCTCTTAATTATTTTTGGCCTTATTTTTCCCCAACTTTATAAAGCCTTGCTTAATTCCTGAACTGAAGCTCTTGCTTTACTTTCACGGATACAAATTAAAGATAGGAGTATGATGCCTTCTTGAATCCTTCTTATATAGTTAAAAATTTACCAAAATCTTCTATTTCTTAAAATAACTCATAATTAAAACTGTAAGAATAGTATACTGACTTCTTGGAAAGAACAAAGATATTTACTTATAATTTTATTCATTTCCCTTACTTATTAATTCTTATAAAAATTCTACATTGACCAAAAAAAATCAGCGAATCAAGAATTTAAAATTAAATTATATTTTACATAATAAGAAAACCCCAATACGTACAACTGATTTTAAGTAGTAAACATTTCTTTCTAAAATGATATGAACAAATATTTCTAAAGCATTACCTTTAGTATAATCAACAACTGCTTCCAAAGCTGCTATCCTAATGTCCACAAAGTGGCCATATTCTGCATAGGATTTAAAAAGAGTTGGGTCGCTGGGAACATGACCGTTCTTCTGAAGCACTCGTATGGCTCTCAAACAACTAGGAAAATAATATTACAGTGAAATACTTTTGTTAAAGTATTCTGAATCAAATTTGTTTGCTAGGCATTGGAAGTTTATCTGTGACAGTGAACTAAAAAATTGACCTGATTTGAAGCCACCTTTTAATTCTGTAACATTATATTTTTTTGAACGATCATAACAATTTTAAATATCTAAATCCTATGAAAGGAAAATAAATTTTAAAACTTATTTGTAAATCTAAGTTCAGGTATTAATGTACTTAATAATTTCACCAAAAGATTTAGTAGTTATATAAGTAGTTATATAATTTAATAAATAATAAATGGTTAAATTGTTCACAATGTTTGAACTAGTGAATCGACTTTTTTTTTTTTTTTTTAAGCAAACTCCCAAATAGAAATTTTTTATAATTATTTACAAAAAAGTTGAAAGCAAAAATTCATCTTTAAAGAGTCTAATAGAGCTGAGACCGGTTTGGCTCAGTGGATAGAGCGTCGGACTGCGGACTGAAGGGTCCCGGGTTCGATTCTGGTCAAGGGCATGTAACTTGGTTGTGGACACATCCCCAATGGGGGGTGTGCAAGAGGTAGCTGATCGATGATTCTCTCTCATTGATGTTTCTGACTCTCTATCCCTCTCTCTTCCTCTCTGTAAAAAATCAATAAAATATATTTTTTAAAAAATAAATAAATAAAGAGTCTAATAGAAAAATCGGCTTAATAGCCAATGAGAGAAAATATTTTGCAGACATAAAAAAAAATGCTTTTGAAGAATTCTTGATAACATGAGAAAGTGTTGATGATATAAGCAGAATGCAAAAATTACATATACATTATACGTCCAGTAATTAAAAATTTATATTGTTACAAGAGGAAAAAAATTAGAAGGCTACTCTCTAAAACAGTTTAGTAATAATTTATCTGTAGATGATAGAATCATAGGATTTTAATCTTCTCCTTTATCTTTTTATTCTATTTCCCAGTTTTCTATAATGAAAATAAATTTCACTTATACTGTAATTATAAAAACAATTAACTTTAAAGAAAATGTAAAGAATCACCATACCTCACAGTGATGGTATGTCTATAACTTGGAAGAAGTTTTTCCATATTCAAAAACCTGGTGATTTCTTCAAGAATCAGTCGCACATCTGGATTTAAATTATCTAAAGTTCGAACTTCATTATTCACACTGACTGCAGGTGTAACAGAGTTGGCAAGGGCATCAATCATTTCTGCACGATAATAGTTATCTGAAAACTAAGCCAAAAAAATTATTATATAAACATAAAATTCATGCTCCTGTTAAAAAAAATTAATAAAATATTTATAACCTAAGACCATAATTTATCTAAAAACATAAATTGGTAAGTACTCAACTCTGTGTTTTGCAAAGAGTTGCACACAGAAAAAAAAGTGAGATTCATTAATTAGTAATAAACTAGTCAACTCAATAAATACTTACTATATGAAAGGCAGTCTTATTGTAACCTAGCCAGATTTCTCTAAAAGGAAGACCCAAGTCCATAAATCCTGCTGGTAATACAGACCTTCAAATCAGCTATTTAGTGCCTTCCTCTCACATATAAACATATAATCAAAGATCACCAGATATTTCAGAAAAGTGTCAACATAAAAAAGATCAGAAAAAACAAAGGAGAAAACACAACTTGAGGAAAGAAGAGTATTCAAGAAAAGAAAAATGGCAAGTGGATAAAAATCCAAAACTATTATTAATATTGCTTGAGAAATAACCAATGAGATGCCTCCCAAAAGTAAAACATTTTAAAAAGAAATAAGCAAAGAATGAGGATCAAAATTAAACTGAAATATTAAATTTTTAAAAACTCCCAAAGTTTTCAAGCAAAAGAAAAGTGAGAAGACAATAGGAAGGAAAGCATAAGGAAATCAGAGGGCTGGTATAGAAGTCAGAGCATCGGAATAATAGGAGTTTCTAGCAAAAACAGAGAAAATGGAAGAGGAAACCATAAAAAAAGGAAAAAAAAGCTAAATTCTAAACCCATATCCCAGTCAATTCCCAGAGAAACAATTTATTGAAAGGCAATCTGGGTATGACTTGATTTAAACTCAGGAAATCAGATACTCTAGCCTGGGAATCTGAACATGGAGCAAGTGAGTTGATTCTACCACAAATTGCCAGGGATGGAAGAGGAATACCCACCCCCTTTTGACTTCCATTGTGGAGGCAGTACCTCACATGGGCACACATGCCAACAAAGTCCCTATGGAGTCCCACGTTCAGATACTGAGCAGAAAAAAAAAAAAAATGGCATGCAACAACAAACAAAACCAAGTGTACACTATGGGAAAAGCTTTGTTTTCAAACCATTTAGATTGTTTTCTTCAAGTATTTTTATAGCTTGATTGTTACCTCTGGGAACCACTTTGCCCACAAAGCCCATTTATTTAACACTATTTCTGACATAAGTGTTTAGATCACAGAATGAACCCACAAATTAAAAATGAGGAGGGGGCCGAGACCGGTTTGGCTCAACGGATAGAGCGTCGGCTTGGAGACTGAAGGGTCCCAGGTTCGATTCTGGTCAGGGGCATGTGCCTTGGTTGCGAGCATTTCCCCAGTAGGGGGTGTGCAAGAGGCAGCTGATCGATGACTCTCTCATCGGTGTTTTTAACTATCTCTCTCCCTTCCTCTCTGTACAAAATCAATAAAATATATTTTTTAAAAAATGAGGAGGGGGGTTGGTAAAGTAGGAAAACCGAAAGACTTTAAATTTGTCCCTAAGACCACATCCAATTCTCACAGATACTAGAATCCTAATCGGACAAGCTAGATTATCTAGTAACAAGTAAGGTGAAATAACTTGAAGCGTGGCATTCCAATAGCTTTTTGTTAAATAAATGAATAAACACACGTATGGTTTTATAAAAAAAAAAAAAAATCAAATTCATCAATGAACAAATTATCACCAAAGGGAACTGTTTTCTGGTAAAATAAAAAGGGAGTAAAAGTAAAGTTGGGCTGTCAGACTTCACCAAAACAAGTTTTAACTGGCTCTCCAAAATTTAAGGCACTACTACTATCTCCACATTACAACAGTTATGAGGAACATTTAAAAACTAACTAATCTTAGTTTTCATCCACTGGTTATTATAATAAATCATGTTTACATGCTTCTAATGCTAGAAATTTCAAGTACCAGGGAGTCAATAATGATTTCACAGTCTAAATATTTCTTTAAAAACAAAATAACAGCCCTAACCGATTTGGCTCAGTGGATAGAGCGTTGGCCTGCGGACTCAAGGGTCCGAGGTTCGATTCCGGTCAAGGGCATGTAACTTGGTTGTGGGCACATCCCCAGTTGGGGGTGTGCAGGAGGCAGCTGGTCGATGTTTCTCTTTCACTGATGTTTCTAACTTTCTATCCTCTCTGTAAAATATCAATAGAAAATATATTTTTTTAAATATATATATATATATATATATATATATATATATATATATATATATATATCTCACTGGATAGTTTTATAATAATCATTAAGATTTCTTACCTTATTTTTTCTGTTGTCATTATACTTGATTAAGTCTAAAATAAATGTTAAGACTTCTTTGGGGCAAAGGTTGTGAACATCTCTCAATAGAGCCATTGCAACTGGCATAGTCTATAAAAAATAATATTTTTAAGTATTATAAGTTCATTACAATAATTCATTGAATTCAGTGCATGTTAAAAAAGGACTACTTTAGTGCAGACACAGGTTTCTGGATGAAGCCTAATCCCTACCCTCCTCCCGGGCCTCCCCCCCTTTTCCCCCCACTTCCCCCCCCCCCCCCCCCCGTAACTTCCAGCCCCTCCCACTAAGAACATGTGCCAAACATTCTAACAAAAGAGCTGAGCAGGAAACCAAGGGGAGAGCTGAGTAACTGGATGCACTCTCTAGCCTATATGCCTGTCTTCATTTGTCAGAGGAAATATACATCATGTAAATGATATATTCAGCTCTGAGTTGTACAGTAGAAAAGGTATGGGTTTTAATATTAGATAAACCAATTTTCAACTCCTACTCTACTGCCTACTAAGATGGGTTATTTTAGCAAGTTGCTTACTAAAAAGCCTCACAACCACACAACTCTTTTCAGGATTAAAGGGAATAGTGGCTGTAGGCATGCGGTTCAATCATCAGTCTGAGAAGACACTGATTCTCCAATACCACGCCATCTCAACTTAAGGAAAAATGATAAATTATCTGAAATCCAGCCTAACATTCTCCTTCCCAAATTTTCACAGGCAACTTTTCTAAGGAGGTGGAAGCCAGACTCACACAGAAAAGAATAATAATAAATCAATAATAAAATAAAATAACTGGATGCCACTGACTTCTCTGATCACACCACGATAGGCTTTCATCAAACCATCTTGAATCTGTTTTACTGATGAAATTCACTGTAAATAATACACCATGACTTCCATTCTTAGCAGGGCTCTCAATGTTTGCAAGTAATCCTTTTGCTTTTGCCTCTATCATATATAATGCTTAACATCTCCTTCAACATCTATCATTTCACTTACTTTTTAAAAATATTTTTAAAAGATATGTTTTTATTGATTTCAGGAAGAGACAGAGGAGAAATAGAAACATCAATGATGAGAATCATTGATCAGCTACCTCCTGCACATCCCCTACTAGGGATTGAGCCGGAAACCCGGACATGTGCCCTGACAAGGAATCGAACTGTGACTTCCTGATTCATGGTTGACACTCAATCACTGAATCACACCAGTCTGGCTCATTTCACTTACTTTTAATTGCTTTCCACTTGCCTCAGAAAAGAGGGAGCTTCTTACCTTTTCTTAAATGACCCTCCCAACTGTAGCCCACCCCTTAATACCTTCAGAATTCTCTCCATCTTCCTTATATTTACTGACTCCCACTGAATATTTCATCCCTCTACCCAAATAAACCAAACCCATAATGTCCGTTCCTCAGGCCTGCTTTATCCTCCACATGTCTTCATTCTCCTACTCTTTACCCCAAACCAAGAAAGAGGCTTCATTAGACTTTTCTATTTCAGCTTCACTCTTCCTTCTCGTCCCATCTAGTTCATCTAATCTTTGCCTTCATTATTAAATTACTCAAAAATTTTTACAAATGATTTCCAAATTGCCCAGATACTGACCACCCTGCCATCCTCACATTCCCTCCCAAAACAGTGATCCATCACATCCCCACTTTTTAAATTATCATTTATAAAAGACCTATTGTGTGATAAATATAATCTGAAACATTTCCCATGCTTGATCTTATTTAATTCTAAAAAAGGTAAATTTTATAATTGAGTGGACTGAGGCTTAGAGGGCAAACTGTCAGTAACAGGGCTGGGACTAATGCTTGTGTAGTGTGCTGCCTGCCCGTCTCTTACTCAGATATGCTGTCCACATCCCTCCATCCTCAACATAATCAGCCCCAAATTCAAACTAACCATTTCTATTTATTTTCGTTTTAATATGAATTGTGAGTTATTTTCTACCTCTCATAAAATCAATGAGAAATCATGTAATTAAAATTTTGGAAAAAAATTTTAGAAACAAAAAGAGCAAAGGCAAACCTTTTAGAATAAAGTAAACACATCTATCATTTGAATAGTCTCCAAGTTAAACTAAGATATACAGATAGTGGCATAAAACAATCATAGGAAATTTGGAAAGTAAACTGTACCTTTTGTAGAAAATAACTTTGAAAGCTCATAAAGTTGTTTGTTTTCACAATGTTTGGACAAGTTTTACAACAAAACATTCTAGTAAAGAGTGACTTCATGGCTGGTGGTCCTGTCCATGTGCTCACCATTGAATTTGCAATCTGCAAATAATTAGAAAACAAAGTAATTTCCATCATCACAGCAAACATATTTTTAAATAAATAAAACAGCTTTGCAAGAGTTAACAATGCAATTGGATTAGTTTTTAACAACTTCAATTCTTAGAAATTTAATACATTTTAGCCTTCCATTATCATTTCTAAGAAAATATACAAACTTAAACCCCCAAATTCTTATGTACACTCCAACCACTGACCCACAATGGCCAGGGCAGAGTTCTATTTTTTTTTAATATTCAATAATCTTGTTTTCTTTCTCCTGTATGTAATCTTACCTTTGCAAGGCAGAAGCAAGCTGACATTCTTACTCGGTAGAAACACTGCTCTTGTTCTAATATGTCAGTGAGGGCAAGCCGAGATGCTGGTGTGGGGAACTTTTCCAAGGCCAAGATGGACTCTTGCTGTGCAACCACATCCCTCTCGTAGCGGAGCTGGTACTGCCACATGAAATCTGCTTGCTCAAATCCTACTTTCCTCAGGACTGACATATCGGGGTCTATCCTTATCCACAGCAAAGGGGAATCAGCACTGAAAGAAAACACAACTTTCCTTCTTATTTGTTTTTTAATTTTATATATTCATAAAATAAAAACAAAGTGTTTATTAATCAGGTTCTCTCCTACATGCAGTATTCAAGCCTGCCTGGAGTTTAATGTATCCATTTTTTAAAAATCACAATGACAGCTTTCTCATTATGTTTAACTTCATCATTGACTATATCAATCATGTTGAAAAGATCTCCAATGATAGTAAGACAGTTAGCTGTCACAAAGGAATTCTATCTGAAAATACTAATTTGGGACTTCGATTTGTGATTACGTAATGTAAAAAGGGGAATAAGAACAAGTTTCTTCATTTCACTTTCTGTTGCCAAATAATTGACTATGGCTTTAAGGGCCACCCCTTACTAGAAATCAATCTGTGACTAAGAAATGAATTATTTTATTAAGTTATTTGTTTAACTGACTTTTAATATATATTTTTAATGCTTGACTCATAACCACCTTTTTCAAACAGTAAGTTATGAAATTATAGTTTGGAAGCACATATAAATTTACTCTCAAAGTAACAAACACAGTTTAAAATACCTAGTCTATGTCAACACTTTTATCAAAAAACAGCACTTGATATATTAATTCAATTCATTCAATACCACTGATTGTCTACTATAGCCAAGGCATGTGATACCAAAAAAAACAAAACCATAAAAACAACATATACACAGCAGTGATATGTAAATAACTGCCAATGTTTTATAAAAAATATACAGTAAATAACTGCCGATTTTTTATAAAAAATATACAGGCACAATATGGATAGACAAAAAGTTTGAGCTGTATTTTTAAAAAAAAAATAAAACTGTTAATAAATATTACCATATAAAATTTTAAAATAATGATATTTAAATTGTGTTTTGCAAGCACAGGGATCCTTAGAAGACCCTGAAGCCTTGTCCAAAGATATAAGATCATTATCTGAGACTTCATTAAGAATGCAAACTAGCTGTAATCGGCTTGGCTCAGTGGATAGAGGGTTGGCCTGCAGACTGAAAGGTCCTGGGTTCAATTCCGGTCAAGGGCATGTATTCTGGTTGCGGGCACATCCCCAATGGTGTGCAGGAGGCAGCTGATCAACGTTTCTCTCTCATCGATGTTTCTAACTCTTATCTCTTTCCTCTCTATAAAAACCAATATTTTTTTTTAAAGGAAAGAAAAAAAAAGAATGCAAACTATTAGAACCACTAGCACAGTGCTCAGCCAGAAAGTGCATTTCTAGAAGATCCCCAGAAGTGTTGACATGGATATTATAGCTCGAGAATCACTGGTCTCAAGGCTAGCAAGAAAGCTGCCCAAACCAAGACTGTGCCCCCTCACCACCACCCTGTATTTCCTCAGGCTAGATTTACTTTTCCCTCTTTCATTATTTTTTTTTACTTTAAAAATTAAATTTATTGGGATAACATTGGTTAATAACATTACCCGTTTTATCACCTAAAGTCTAATCTCCTTCTGCCACCACATAGCTGACCCCTTTACCCTCTTCCCCTCTAGTAACGACCGTATTGACTGTGTCTATGAGTTTGTTTTGTTTGTTCATTTGTTACTTTTTGTTTTATATCCCATAGTGAAATCTTATGATCCTTGTCCTTTTTCACTTGATTTATTTCACTTGGCATAATACTCTCTTGATCCTTCCATATTGTCACAAATGGAAATATTTCATCTTTTTTATGGCTGAGAAGTACCCACTGTATATGATTTTACCTAAGATTTGCTTTAGCATAAGGTTCCATTGCCTTTCAAAAGTTTTAAAAGCACTAATTTCAGGACTTTTACATACTTTAAGATGTATATAACAATACAAATGAGAATGCAGATCATATACCCTTAAACGTAAGTAATTAACTTACTCCATTGCAGAAAGATCCATATCAACTTCCTCTCCATTCATCAGTGGAATTTTCTTCTTCTTATTCCTACATTTAAGAAAAATTAAGTTTGAAATTGTGACATTTCCAGTTTCAAAAAGAGACAATGAGCAGACGAAAATCAAGTTAAGGATTTCATACAACCTTGAAAGATATCATAAGGAAGAAGGAATGATAAATGTAATGGAATTTAATCACAACAAAATGATTTTGAAGCTGAAGGAATGAAGTAAATGATACTGAGATGTCACTGTGATCAAAGTTTAATGAAAAGAAGAAATATAAATGTCAACTTTAAACATATTCCCAAGAACTGGTAGCTATAGTGTTATGTAGAAAAGATAAGAAAGCTATCAATAAAGAAATCCTTTGTTTAAGGAAGGAAGGAAGGAAGGAAGGAAGGAAGGAAGGAAGGAAGGAAGGAAGGAAGGAAGGAAGGAAGGAAGGAAGGAAGGAAGGAAATAAATAAATACAGGCCTGACTGGTGTGGTTTAGTCAAGTGAGTGCCATCCCATGTACCACAAGGTTGGTCGATTTCCCTTCAGGACACATGCCCAGGCTGTGGGTTCAATCCCCAGTGGATATGTGTATGGGAGGCAACTGACTGATGTCAAAGGTAGAGAGCATAAAAAGAAACAGGGTCTGGCCAGTGTGGATCAGTGATTGAGAGTTGACCTATGAGGTCAACTATTTAATTCCACATCAGGGTACATGCCCAGGTTGTGGGTTCAATCCTCTGGCATGCAGGAGGCAGCAGATCAATGTTTTTCTCTCATTATTGATGTCTCTCTCTCTCTGTCTCTCTCTCTCTCTCATTAATATCTCTCTCTCTCTCTCTCTCTCTCTCTCTCTCTCTCTCTCTCTCTCTTTTTAATATATTTTATTGATTTTGTACAGAGAGAAAGGGAGAGAGATACAGAGTTAGAAACATCGATGAGAGAGAGTCATCGATCAGCTGCCTCTTGCACACCCCCTACTGGGGATATGCCCGCAACCAAGGTACATGCCCTTGACCGGAATCGAACCCGGGTCCCTTCAGTCCCCAAGCCGACGCTCTATCCATTGAGCCAAACCGGTCCCGGCTCTCTCTCTCTCTCATTGATATCTCTCTCTGCCCCCCCCCCCCCCCGCTCTTCCTCCCTCCCTCCCTCCCCTCTGAAATTAAATAAAAATAAAAAAAAAAGTATTTTTTCAGAGAAAGAATGCTTACAGATTCAGGGAAATGATTCAGGGAAATTCCTGAATCAAGTTCCCTGAAAGCTGTCAAAATCAACTGACACTCAGGTCTGAGATGACCTAAATGTAGACATGAGTATGAGTATAGACTTCTGTTCTTGGAATTCTGATATTACTACAGCAAAGCACAAAAGTATGATCATCTTTCACTGTTCAGAGTACATGCTACAGGCTGAGTTTTAAAAAAGTGATAAATAAAAATACATTAAATAAAACATGAACTGTTGGACATCTCTAAGTAAACTGGTTTTGGGCCTTTGAGACAGATTTTTCTGTAAGGGCATGCTGATATAGGGACAGGGGAGAAAGCCACATAGTGTACTAGATGATGTAGGGCCTTTCAAGACACATGTATTCAGATCCTTCCTTTATAACCCATGATCATTTCCCCAATATTTCCTGTAGATATTAATCCAATGAGACTAATAAAACTAAAACTAAACAATTTATCTTGAATTTTTTCCGGCTCCAAAAGCTCAAACTTCTATTCCACCTCCTCCTATCCCTACAAAATATGAATTCTCAAACTTAAATTGAAAAATTAATTATTTAATTCTAAGGTAAAAAAAAAAGTGTTGTAAAAAACAAAAAGCAAATAAAAAAGGTTTGGTAATACTAACTTGAAGTAAAATGGGGGCGGGAGGCAGATACTAGAAAACATGTTCTCTACCTAAAAAATAGGTACACATTAGGATTTTTATTTTGGCATTTTAATGTGTGATACTTACAATTTAATTATAAACTTTAATTTACAAGTATGATTCAATGCCTACCTTCTGCTTTTGGAATGACAGGGTATATCATGTTTAAGGCTGTTTTCTTCAATTTGCAATGTATGATTGAAGGATCCATCTAATTCCTGCACTGTCACTTTAAGTGGTCCCTTTAAAGAAACATAATGTTCATGAATAGGGCTAGAAAAATAATATGTATCTTTCATGTGTACGTAAATATATCAAAATATAAAATAATACCATGCAATATGTGTATCTGAAGACCAAGAAAAGCAATTGGTGCCAAACGGGAGAAGTTGTATCCCCTGAAATCTCCATTTGTAATCTGTCTTCCATTCAGCAACACTTGGTTTTTGCTCAATTTCATTCTTTGTAAACAAAATCTCATTATGAAACTACGAATCAGATCCCTACTCAAAAGCTCATCCTCTATTTTAACTGGGGAGAAAGTAATGCAAAAGCCCATTTTAGAAAAAAACTTACCACGTATTTCTGAGTTCCAGGTGATGTATAATCTTGTTTTATTTCCAATTCCAAGACATTTCGTTTTCTATTAAATGCAAAACTTCCATAAAATTTTACCACTCCACTCTGGTCTCTGAAGAATTGTAAAGGAACTTTTGTATACTTAAATGAATATGTACTAAACAAATTATTTACTGTGGTAATAATAATTTTCAAATGCATTACCATCAGTTCAAAGCTTGAGAGCGAGCATACTTCGTTGTAAAGCAGGTGGTAAAGTATTCAGAATTCTTGTGGAAAATGTTTCTCCAGATTTAAACAGAATTTCTGAAACATTGAAAAATTTGTGTTTTGAAAGAAGTAAAACCACTCTACTGGGTTGCTAATATAACCAATGAGAAAATGTAAAAAGTAAAAAGTACCAAGATACTACTCAAGTTGTGACAACCTCTAACCACATCTATAAGTCAACAGACCATTGCATCTTACAAGTAACTGTATAGGCCTATCTGAATTATTTACCTCCCCTACCATCTAGCCTATTGCTGTACTCACAGTAAAAACTACTTCAAAATATACCAAATTTTATAAATAGTACAGGGGTGTGTGTGTGTGTGTGTGTGTGTGTGTGTGTGTGTGTGAGAGAGAGAGAGAGAGAGATAGAGAGAGAGAAAGAGAAAGAGAGAGAGAGAGAGGGAGAAATCTCAATGATTGAGAGAGAAATCTCAATGATTAGCAAGCACCTTATAAGAAGAGAGAGAGAGAGAGAGAGAGAGAGAGAGAGAGAGAGAGAGAGAGAGAGAGAGAGAGAGAAATCTCAATGATTGAGAGAGAAATCTCAATGATTAGCAAGCACCTTATAAGAAATAATTTATAGTTCTTGGTTATTTTCACTATTCTTTGGAAATATAGTTTTTAGCTCTCTTTTTATCTTCCAAATCCCTCTTCTTCCTCCCTCCCCTTACACATATAATCTTCCTGGCTCCCACCATCACTTGTTGAACTGCTAAAAGGATACACCCACTGCTTTATTAAAGGCTGAATGTCTTTGCCAGAGACATTTGAGATGGATTTCAAAAACCCAAACGTGGAAACCAACATTTGACTCCACATATGGGACTGGAACTTTTGAGATGAAGCAGTACTAGCCAAACTTAGCAGTTTATTGAAAACCTGTAAGGATAAAAGTATCATTTAGTAACATAATATACATTGCTTTCAATTATCTATGAAACCATTTTGCAATAGAACTTTATTACGGTCAATTATAGAAGATAGTAATTTCACATCTTACTATATAGATTGTTCTAGTTAAAGACTATCAATAGAAATATGCGAAGAATTAAACAGAATAAAAACCATTTTTCTTTTAAATATTTAAATATCCTTAATATTTTAAATAAAGAACATAAAACCATATGTATAAATTGGTTTTACTTTCATCCTCACATTCTAATTTTATCTTCACACTAATCCTGCACTAAGTGTCCAGTATTGATACCCATTCTATAGCTGAGGAAACACAAAGAAAAACCATAGGTCTAAGTGGACTAACAGCTAACAACTAAGGAACTCCATCTCATAAACCCAGATACCCTGACCCTATTTACAGAACAGTATTCATATTATAAACATACAGATCTTTCTTTATAATTGGTCAATTCTTAACTTTAATACTTACTTGTAGCATAAATTCCATACTGATCCTATTTTCAATCAATCTCATCACTAGGTGAGCTTTACACTGGAACATAGTGTAGTACTCCCAGGACAGCGTATGTGGATGCTTTATTGAAAAGTATAGATGGGAAGCCGGACTAAACAAATAAACAGATTTACTTAATATAACAATTTTAAATATTTAGTAAATGGCACATTTCATGGCCATATCAGACAGTAAATAAAAAACTTCTTGGGAATACCTTAGTATGAGAGGAATAAAGACTAAGATACATACTCACAAAAAAACATTTTAAGCCTAGCCTGCATGGCTCGATGATTCAGTGTCCACCTATGATCCATGAGATAAGGGTTTGATTTCTGATCAGGGCACATGCCCAGGTTATGGGCTCAATCTCCAGTATAGGACATGCAGGAGGCAGCCGATCAACGATTCTCTCTCAACACTGATGTTTCTGTCTCTCTTTCCTGCTCCCTTCCTCTCTGAAATCAATAAAAAAAAATTTTTTTTTTAATTCAAGATGAACTGCATATCTATAACAAAAACAATTATAAAAGTATAAAAGGAAAATAAAGGAAAACCTTTATTTCCATAATTTAAGGGTAGAAAAAAAATTTTTTAAATATATTTTTATTGATTTCAGAGAGGAAGTGAGAGATAGAAACATCAATGATGAGAGAGAATCATTCATTGATCAGCTGCCTCCTGCACACCCAACACTGGGGATCCAGCCTGCAAACCAGTATATGCCCTAACCAGGAATTGAACCATGACCTCTTGGTTCATAGATTGAAGGTCAACCAGTGAGCCATGCTAGCCGGGTGGGAAAAATCTTCCAAAAGAGAAAATATAAAATCCAGAGGACAGTAAGACCAGATTGACTAGGTAAAAATTTAATAAATCAGGAGTAAATTAAAAGAAAGGTACTATCTAGTAGAAATACTGAATTCCATTTTGTAAATGTCATATACACATAAAGACAAAAAAAATAAAGGTTCATATATTGAAAGATATGTCAAATTTATAATCCTGGTTATACCTCCACAGGGAGGTTTTATAGGAATGAGGGGTGATTAAAAAAAAAAGGGGGGGGGGTGCTAAAAAGGATCTCTATGTTTTACTCCACACACTTTTACACTGTCCTGTTTTATATTTCTTAAAAGAGAATGTATTCATGTGCTGGTTTTATATACGAATTTTTAAAATTAAACATACAACAAGGACTAAATAAATGGGCAAAACCAAGATATTTTCACACAATGGGAATGCCCTAATTATATACTAGGAAACAGCATTATGTCAGGTAGCCAAGAGAAGAAAGTGAAAGAATTAATGAGTGAAAGTGTACTATGTATGAAGATTTACCTCAAATAATTTCACAACCAGCCTGGTTAAAATGGATTATGAATCATCACTGTGACTTTACACATTAAAACACATATACACACACTTTCTTTGGAACAATATGCAATGTGTGTTTTCTTATATCACCAATATTAATAATGATTAAAATCCAAATTTGTCTTAATTCAAAATTTCCACTGACTTAATCTTGTCTCAGTGACCATAACAAAAAAGGGCTCCTGGTTACACAATTTCAAGTTTCTTAACTTTTGTTGTGCTTTCAGGCACTGGGGCAGTATGGTTAATTCTATGGGCCCATATAAGAGACAAGCTTAAAATACATAAAATAAAATTTACAGAATATAAAGTAAACCAATTATAGTGAAATGAAATGATCAAAGTAGAAAAAATTTATGATATACCAATATGTGTGTGAGCTTATCAATCCATTAAATAATAAGATCTAGCAGTGGTCTACTCTGAGAGAGTTATAAGTGCAAAGAATATTTCAAATTATCAGCTAACAATTATAAAGTGACAGGAAAATATCTTGTAGGCAATGTCACACTATTATCTGTTATCTACATTTATAATTAAAGAAAATGAAAATTTTCACTTTATAGTTAGTGAAAAAATTTCCATCTAATTCAATTCAAATAATTATTAGTGTTTCCATTATTTTAAAACTTTTATGAAAACGGTATGCTATAGTAGCAGTAGAAAATTAACATGGAAAAAAAGAAAAGTATTACATTTTTAAGTCCGTTTTAAATGTTTAAATCCATTTGTAACCATCATATTCAATAAAAATAGTAATGAAAGGAGTAATGTGGTTACCAAGGTTTGTGGCCTCAATATTATTACCTGTTAATACTACCCCTTTGGTTTGTGTGGGTCTCAACACCCATACAAATGATCCTAAAAAAGTTTATAGTATCATATCTGAACAATAAACATACTTATCCTTCTCTTTTCCTCCACCAAATATGGGATGTAGTAAAACTCCACCAGTTTTCAGCTCATACGCCACGATTTTGTCCAGCTCCTAAAAAAATACAAGAATCGGAGCCAGTGAAAATTTTTTACATATAAATGTAAAATTGAACTGTGATTTCTCATTTCCTAGAATTAGAATGTAAATATTTTTTTTTTCTTTTTTAACATATTTTATTGATTTTTTACAGAGAGGAAGGGGGAGGGTTAGAGAGCTAGAAACATTGATGAGAAACATAGATCAGCTGTCTCCTGCATACTCCCTACTGGGGATATGCCTGCAACCAAGGTATTATACATGCACTTGTCTGGAATCAAACCTGGGACCCTTCAGCCTGCAGGCCAATGCTCTATCCATTGAGCCAAACCGGTTTTGGCGAATGTAAATTTCTTAAGAAAATTAAATGAATTTGGAAAGTAATTTATGTTCTTATAAACAAAGCAAACTATACCACTGGCTAAAAGACAGCACCTAAAAGCCTTGTCTACTTTGTGACTTTAGAGCTAGCCAGTAACCTGCCAACTTTCCTAATGGCTATTCCCAACCTCTCTAGCTGATTTTCCAAGTTTACTTCTTCCTTCTCTGTATTTGACTTTAATGGCGAATTTAGGGGATAAAATTATGTCAGGAATCAACATTTTAAAACTCCTGTCTTCTTCAATATGACATACATCAAAGGGAAAAAAAAGCTTAAGTGAAAAAAGGATAACACAGCTGTGCTAGAAATTCATGACTAGTTAAAAAATATACAAGCAGAATAAAGAAGTGGTAAAAATCAGAATGAAGTGGTTAATAGCCAGGCTAAATCATGGCTCTACTACTTACTAGCAATGTAACTTTGGGCAAATAACTTAACCTTTCTGTGCCTTAGTTTCCTCATCTGTAAAATGGGGTAATAACAGAGTAGTTAGGAAGATTAAGATGGTTAACATTTATAAAATGCTTATAATAGTGCCCAAAACATGGTAAATGCTGTATGTCATTTCCCTTTCATTAGTTTTTGAAATGAAGAAAGGACTCAGCAAAATACAATTGATTTTTGTCGTTTGGGGCAAATTTTTAAATTATAGGAAAAAGACGTTAGTCTCACAGGAGCATAAATGCACTGAAACACTAGCCAGTACATAATAAGCAGTTACTATGTACAAGGCACTATGCATATTATATGTATGATGTCTCATATTCCCCATCCATTGGATAGATACTCTCCTTATACAGATGAGGCTTGGAAAGATTAACCAAAGTAACAAAGGTTGTAAATGTATGAGGCCAACTGCAAAGCAATCTGACTCCAGAACCTGGACTCTTAAGTCTAAACAAATTTAGGAAGCAGAGAGATACAGTAAAAATGACTTCTATGAGAATTTGAAATATGTCTGATAATTAACTTGATGTTTAAGGAGCTTAAATATTCTTTTCCTTAGCAAAAAAAGTCTTTAGAGGCCAACACTGATAATTTGAAACAGGATACAATAGACCATTAGTTTTTCCCATTATAGTCATTTTCAGTTTACTGGAGAACAAATTAGAGACTTTTGAATAACAATAAGTATTTTACAATTATTTTTCTAAAAAGCACATGTGTCAGGCCAGTGTGGCTCAATGGTTGAGCACTGACCCATGCACCAGGAGATCACCAATTCCTGTTCAGGACACATGCATAGCTTATGGGCTCGATCACCAGCAGGGGTTGTACAGAATGTTTCTCTCATCCATGTTTCTATATCAGTCTCCCTCTCTCTTTCTTATACTCTAAAATAAATAAAAATAAAATAAAATAAAATAAACAATAAAGGTCATGCAACTTTGAAATCAGGAAAACATGTCTTACTGACTTCTAAGTGGATAATGGATCTAGCTAGTTTTACCTCTTTAATCCAATGGCGGTATTCATTAACTCCAAAAGTTTTTTTCATCCAAAGTCCATAAATATAGCCTGAAATTCCCTTCAGTACCCATTCATCAGACCTAAGCAACAAATAAAAATGTGAACTTTTAATCATAAAAATTCTTCAGATAAGTATGTATACTTCTCTGCCTTCTTAAAGAAAATTAGCTAGGCAAATTATTTGATTTTCCCACTTCCAGCTGAGTTCTACTTGTCCATTCCTTGTGTCTTTTCACATCTGGCTTCACGTGTAACTGAAGGACTGCTGCACAGTCTTAGTTCAAGTACAATGTGCCTATGTGTGTTCTCTGGCAGTGCTGCTTCCCTCTCGCCCAAATCTGTCACACAGTCAGCCTTTAAAATAACAGCTGAATTTGTTATTAGCAACCCATGCATAATTATCGACGGCCTTCCAAGACCTGAAGTTTACTTACTTTTTAGTTTCTCAAGAGGAAAGGCAATTGATATCATTCATTCATTCATTTATTCATTCATTTGTTCATTCAAACATTTGGCTTACCATATTCCAGGCTCTATTCTTTAGTGAAACTATGTAATTTAAGAAAGTTACAGATAAAGAGGCGTTACCCTCTCCCCTCTCTTCTCCAACAAGAGGGTGGGGGGGGGGAGAATAATATTTATAGCACAGAATGGTCATTGTTATAAATTACAATCTTAAGGGAATTTCCTGTGTTTCTTCAAATTCATCTTAAATTAATCAAAAAGAAAATAAAAAGTGGTATCTCTTATTCATTCAAATAAATTAGCAGAGCGAGGCACCAGCAGGAAAATTCCTACATCATTATCACTAGTAGAGGACCATTATTTTGCCTTAAGCATTATCTTGAACATTACTAATTGCACTGAGCACTGACATTAGAATTTTAACGATAGTTTGCTGTATATTTAAGACCTTTTATCTACAGTATTCATTCAGTTTAAGAAACTGTTGCTATCAAAATTCTTACCTTATTCTTATTGCAAATTGCAAAAATGTAGGGTGAAATTTACATTCATTCTTTTTCTTTAAATATATATATATAGAATACTGCCTTTTAAATTAATTACTGCAATTAGCACAAATGTGAGTTTACATTGCAGAAAAAGAAAATAAAAACAAAATTTCTCAATTCTTCTTCTCAGTAGTTGTAAACTTTGAAGTTACTCACCAAGACATTCTGGATATAAAACATCCAAAAAACTGCTGGGCCAAGGACTGGGCTAAACACCTCCTAGTCAAAGGTGTCTCATCGATAATCATGGCACTGTGTAATAGGTTTGTGCTGGAATTTAAAAAAGACAGCTATTTATAACCAGGGGAAAAAAACAATTATTCAATCAAAATAAAATAAAATAATTCCACATTTAAAATAGATTTGAAATTAGTAAAAAAAAAAAGAGAAAACCAGAATATTCTCTCAAAGAGCTTTTGCATATTTTTAAAATATAGCTGAAATCCATAACCTTGATATGTTTTACTTAAAGCAAGGACTATAATGTTTCCCACTGAGTTCCACGAAAAGTATATATACCTTTTGGGTGGGTAAAGGGAATGGAAACATCATTATGTTAATCAAAAACTAATCCTTCCAATGGCTGGGGAGGGGGAACAATTGGGGAAAAAGGAGACATATGTAAAACATTAGACAATAATAAATAAATAATAAATTTAAAAACAAAACAAAACTAATCCTCCTATAAAGGGCTCTTGTAATCTTTTCCAAGTAATAACTATTAATTTATGTGCTCTATTATTTACTTTCATATACACTGATCCATATGAACCTTCTAACAACCCTCTGGAAAATGCAAGGGCAGTATTATTATCCCCTTTTTGTTTTTTTTATTTTATTTTTAATATTTTTATTGATTTCAGAGAGGAAGGGAGATGGAGAGAAACATCAATGATGAGAGAGAATCACTGATTGGCTGTTTCCTGCATGCCACCCACGAGAGACCAAGCCTGCAACTCGGGCATGTGCGCTTAACCGGAATCAGCTAAGGCACTCCCCTTTTCAGAGACGAGAAAATTTAGGTCCAGATAGAGTAAGATGATTAACCTTGACACACAAAACTTCTAAATTTAAAACTTTTCCAAGAATGAAACAGAAAAGGGAGAGAGGTAAAGAGGATACAAAAAGAAAAGAAAAAGAAAATAAAGTTCTCTTTTTTTCTTACAAAAAAATTTCTGAAAATATAAATGAATTTTGAAATAGTGCAAAGAAAAATCTCTCACTAGTTATTCACAAAATAACTTACATGATTTTTAACTGCATAAGCAGAAAATACTTTTTTAAAATATGTAAAACATTCCCTCTTCTGTAATAATTTCAAGATTATGTGCCTATAGAATAAAACAAAATATTTAAAAACAGAAAAAAAATCTGCCATTTTCAAGAATTAAACAATATCTATAAGTGCATTGAAGTTAAATGAGAAATGTAGGACACATTTATTTCCTTCTTTGGCTTTCCTTCATCTTAAATTTTTGTCAAATAATTATATATTTTATGATTTACTTTTTTTTACCTCTGACATTTGCATTTGATTTCATAATCATGTTCCAAAAAATGATTTAGACATTAACTGTTTTTTTGGGTTTTTTTACATTAACTATTCTTTACTGGCTTAATTATTTACCAATGTCAGTAAATAGGCATTAACTATTCTTTAATAGTTAATGGCTGTTCCTTTTGTATCCCTTCTTCCATTTTGACTGATGAACCTTTCAGGCATTGTCAGGCCAATTATGTGAGTTATTACATGTCTAGGTCTTTCTCTTAACCCATATTGTGTATAATAAAAGCCTAATATGCAAATTGACTGAACAGTGGAACAATTGGTTGCTATGACACACACTGACCACCAGGGGGCAGATGCTCCATGCAGGAGCTGCCCCTAGCCTTCAGGCCCCAGGCCAGCCAAGGTGGGTGCCAGCGGGGCCCACTCCCAATCACCCACCAGTCACCCCACAGAGGGAAGCAACCGGCAGCGGTGGAGGGCAGGGCTGGCGAGCAAATGGCACCAAGCCAGCCAAGGCAGGTGCCAGGGAGGCCCCCTGATTGCCCTGCAAGTCACCCCACATATTGGCCCTGATCACTGGCCAGGCCTAGGGACCTTACCTGTGCACAAATTTCATGAACCAGGCCTCTAGTATATGAATAGTATCGTAACTATGTACAGAGTTCTTTGTAGTTGTTGCTCTAAAAATTCAACAGGCATTGCTTCATTATAGAATTTAGTTACATAAGTAAAGTTTGGGAAAAGTCCACTTTTTTCTTAGTGTGTAACTTGTTTCCTTCCTATTTAGATACTGAAATGTTTTTTCTTTAGCCTTGAAACTTGAAATTTCATAAAGATGTACAGCCCTTTTATATTCATTTTATCCCTTAAAATCAAATGGCTCGCAGCTTCCTTCATGTCAGAGAAATGTTTTTCTATTATTTCTTTGATTTTAGAAATAGATTACAGAAAATAGTTAAACAAAATCTTTAACTATAATTTGGTTTTATGCTATTCATGGCTTATACTTTCCACATTTTTAATGGTGATTTTTCATAAAAAATAAATTTTTATAATTGAGATTATTCTTTTCTCATACGTGCAAATAAAAATTGTAGAAACCTATGAACCAGGAGGTCAGGGTTTGATTCCTGGTCAGGGCACATGCCTGCGTTGTGGGCTTGATCCCCAGTGTGGGGCATGTAGGAGGCAGCCGATCAATGATTCTCTCTCATCATTAAGAGTTCTATCTCTCTATTCCTTTCCCTTCCTTTTTGAAGTCAATAAAGATACATTTTTGCCCTACCCAGGTTGGCTCAGTGGATAGACTGTTGACCTGAGGACTGAAGGGTCTCAGGTTCGATTATGGTCAAGGGCATATGCCTGAGTTGCACACTTGATCCCCAGTAGGGGGAGTGCAAGAAGCAGATCAAATATTCTCTCACATCATTGATGTTTCTATTTCCCTCTCCCTCTCCCTCTCCTTCTCCCTTCCTGAAATCAATAAAAATATATTAAAATAAATAAATATTTTTTTTTAAATTGTAGAAACTAAAAAAACACATATGTAAAATAATATCAGCTAATTCTGGATGAAAACAGTATGATTCTTTTGGGTTATTCTAAGTTTTCTTCTTTATGCTTTTTTATGTTCTTTAATTTTAAAAACACTAGATTTTATACAAAGCCAACCATGTCTAAATGAAAGAAAAAATACAAAACACATCTTTAAATTGATCATATAATAAATAACCATTTCAAATTAGAACAAATACCAACCTAAAAATGCTCATAGAAGCATACGCAGCCACTTCAACATAAGCCTCATCAATGAATACAGTCTTAAAGCAGGAGTATGGGTATCGACATGTAAGAATTTCTTCATAAAATTCGAAAACTTCATGAAGATATGATGTAGTATGTTTAAGCAATGGAAGAAGTTGGGGTAAACAAAAATGAGTAACCTGAAAATAAATGCAAAGAAAAATAACTTATCCTAAATAAGTTAATTTTGTATTTTAAATGTCCTAAATATCTCAATTATAAACAAATGTTCAAACAGGTCCTTTTTTCTTTTTTACAAATTCATGGTACTGAAAGAAAATGCTGATGTGAAATTAGAGATTACCTTTACTATATGTACAAAGTATTTATTGTACTTAAAAGTCAAATTCATGATGAATTATAAGTCTGTAAAATGCTTAGAACCAATAAAAATAAAACTTTGTTTCCAAATTAAATAAAAAATTCTTCTGCATACAAAACAAAAAAATATGCATTTCAAAACTTACAGATCTACCAGTAATTCAGAAATATTTAACCCAGTGAATATTGGACATTTTATAGTATTACCTTAATAATTAATAGTTAATGTTAATCATACTATCTTTACTGTACATAGAATGTCTTCCTCGACTATCTCAACTACATATTGAAAGCTGCAGTGAGCTTATTGCTTGCTAGGAAATAAGAACTGCCTGCAATAGAAACAGTAATTCTGATTTCCTTATTAGGCTACATACACCTTGGACATGACACACAAGTATAACATTCCATCTCATCCCAATTTATGATTCTATGCCAAATGAATGGCATCAACAGTGACAGAGATCACCCTTGCTAGAACAAACTGGTAATGTTTCAGGCAGGCGATCGAATTTGAGCTAATCTTTTTAAATTGAACAAAAGTCTGATAGGTGAGGAGAGGAAAAGAGGACATCACAGATAGAGTCAGAAATAGGAAGAAATAGGGTATGATCAGGAAAATCTAAATAAACTATATTGAATATAATAAACACAAATAAGAATGTGTTAGAAAAAAGCTAGAAAGAAATATTAGGGTCAAATTTTAGAAGATCTTGAAAGCCATGCTAACAAGTTCTAATTACTGCAGAATTGTGGAGGTAAGGAAAGTTTCAATTTATGATAAAAATTATTCTTCTGATAGCATTATAAAAAAATAGAGTAGAGACTACCCTAATAGTGAGGGATGAATATCTAAACATTATTAATGGGCAGGACCCAAATTGCATCCTGATCAGGTATACTTCTATAGGTACACAAACAAAAATAAAATACTACTCACCAAAAAAAAAAGAATTCACTTTCAGACAAACCTATGATAGTAAATCTACTGATATTGAGGCAAAAATTAAAACTATTTGAGCCCAGCTGGTATTGCTCAGTGGTTGAGCATCAACCCTTGAATCAGGAGATCAGGGTTCCATTCCCAGTAAGGGGCTTACAGGAGGCAGCCAATCAATGATTCTCTCTCATCATTGATGTTTCTCCCTTTCCCTTCCTCTCTCTGAAATTAGTAACACACACACACACACACACACACACACACACACACACACTACTTGAGATGAAAAAACTAAGATATGAGCGCTAAGTGTTTGAGAAAAATACCTGACTCTCATTTTCCTTTTTCTCATCCAATGACTCAACGTGGGAAAAAATTCTTCCAAAATACAAAGTAGGTACAAATCAAATGTTGATTTTAAAGTTATCACTTACCAATAATAAAATTCATTGCCAATCTAATCAGCAAATATGCTTTTAAGAGACATTGTCAAGATAGTTTTTAAAATTATTCACAAAATATTTTGAAAAATTTCCATGAGTAATTTAAAAAATCCTGTGAATTTCAGGAAAGCAAACAGAGCAAGGAGTTAACAGTCTAAATCTGGTTGCCCTCATTTTTGCTCACATAACTGAAAGAAATGCTATTGAGATATACATAGTACCAGGATAAGCCTTATATTAAAAGTAATAACTAAAATTGAAAACATAAAGAACTAATAGATTTTGGATTTTGGTAAATAATAGATTCATTCAAATGTTACTTTAAAAGTGTACCATAGCCAAAGGATCAATAACCAGTGAATCACTTTCTAATTTCAAGCAGTCTCATGCTTAGGGAGACCTAAACGCACTATTGGGCCTATCAACTGGTAAATGATTTGTTACAAAATATGGGATGGGGGAAAACTGGAAGAAGCGTTCATGAGTTTGTTGAGAATTCTAACCCTATCTCATTCTTTTTTTCTTTTCCTTCGTATAATGAGGTGAGAACAAATCTTGCTCTTTAATTTTAAATTGCAATTTTTCAGGTCAGGAGATATTGATAACATTTATAAACATATGCCAAACAAAAAGATGAGATTATTAATGTGCACAATTAGTTACAAAATTAGCCTATATACTCTAATCAAGGTATACTTGAAGCTTTTTTGAATGTGAAGACTTCTATTGGAAAAAATCTTAAATTTTAATATGACAATACTTTGAAAGGAATTCACATCATTAAATATATCAGACAAAGAAACCTTTTCTCTAGAATGATATTCTTGACAGTTAGAAGAGTAAAGAAAAACTTAGCATTTCATTAATATCCTTCTTTTTCTCAGGAGTGAAAGGGCGAAAGGAGAGAAAGGAGCAAGAAGATATACCTCATGCATATATGGATCTACAAGTATTTCAAAAGGTCCAATGGCTAAGGCGATATTTGATGCAGATGTTGGAATGGTAAGCATGTAATGGAAGGTCTTCTTCCTCATATCATGGGTATACACTGTCTCCACCAAATCGCCATTGGAAACAGCCACCATAGCAGCATCTACTGTAAATTCTAATTTCCATGTACATAATTCAGAGTATGAGTCAACACATGGGAACCAAAATCTAGAAAAAAAGAACAACAGTATAAAAAATATGTTGAAAGTGTAACCTAAATTACTTTACCCGCATATAAATTATTTTAACATTCAGAGTAACTACAGTAAGAAACTTTAGCTATTTGAATACTGAAGTGTTTGGTGGTGTGTTTTTTTTTAACTGTGCAATGTGGAAGATTTTTATTAAAGACAGAAACTTGTCTCCAAATATTATCTGGCAAAACTAAAAATACTGATAATAAATTTTTTAAAATACAATATTCAGAATCTATTTTATAAGTTAGAAAATTGCTTTTTTGGAGTATGTGATACATTATATAAATTCAAACAGTGCTGGTAAAGCCATATATAAATTTCTGTTGACTTTCTATCAATTCAGGTCAGGTTTTATTATGTGCCAGGATCTATAAGTGGCACTGAAACACAAAAAAATATATCATCCCTGACTTGGAGGAGTTAATAATCTCAGAAGAAAACACATACCATAAAGTAGTATTTCAACAATATGTAATGAACTACAGAACTATGAGAATAAACTACAATTACAATTACACACAATGAAACCAAATCTCACTCTCATAGTGTTCAACAAAAAAAGCCAGATAGCCGAGACTGGTTTGGCTCAGTGGATAGAGTGTCGGCCTGCGAACTGAAAGGTCCCGGGTTCGATTCTGGTCAAGGGCATGTACGTTGGTTGTGGGCACATCCCCAGTGGGGGGTGTGCAAGAGGCAGCTGATCGATGTCTCTCTCTCATCGATGTTTCTAACTCTCTATCCCTCTCTCTTCCTCTCTGTAAAAATATCAATTAAAAAAAAAAAAAAGCCAGATATACAGAGCATGATGGATATGCTTCCATGTATCGGGTCTAGTAATAATTAATATCGTTTTTTAACATTTGTTTAAAATCTTGCTTGGCGTTGACTTGTATTGACATAACCTTCAAACACGTGGTATCTACAGAACGTGTGAAGTGCAATTAACAAGTTTTGCTTGAAAAAGTTTGTGTTTGGTTTGGTTTTTGTTGCAAAACTAGGGCTAAGATGATGGCGGATGAAGAGCATATTCAGCACTCATGCTTTACGAGTTCCAATTAGGAAGAAAAGCAAGTGATGCTGCAAAAAACATCTGTAGTGCTCTTGGTCAAGATGCAGTTAGCGCCAGAAAATGTCAGCGTTGGTTTGAGAAATTTCGCGAGGGAAATTTTTCGTTAGATGACAAGAGTGGTCGAGGCCATGTGTCCAATTTTGATCAAGAAGCTCTTCAAGCTCTTTTGGTGCAAAATCCTCAAATTACCCAACAAGAGCTTGCGACAACTTTAAATTGTTCACAAAAAACAATTTCCAATCAATTGCGTGCACTTGGCAAAGTCCAAAAGTTTGGAAAATGGGTTCCTCATGAGTTGACCGACAACAACCGTAATCAAAGAGTCACAATTTGCAGTTCGCTCCTCTCTCGTCAAAACCGTTTGCCGTTTTTAGAGCAAATTGTTACCGGAGATGAAAAACGGGTGCTGTATGTTAACTTGAAAAGGCGGCCTCAATGGTTGGACAAAAATGAGGCTCCGCAGCCCACGCCAAAACGTGACTTGCATGCGAAAAAAGTGATGTTGTGTGTTTGGTGGAATTTTAAAGGAATTCTTCATTATGAACTTTTACCATCTAACCAAACCATTACAAGTGCAGTGTATAGTGCCCAATTGGAAAGGTTAGCCCAAGCTTTAAGAGAAAAAGTACCCGCGCTAATTAATCGGAAGAGCATAATTCTTCACCACGATAACGCACGACCGCATACTGCAAGAATCACTGCTGAAAAACTGCGCCAGTTGAAATGGGAAGTTCTCCCTCAACCTGCATATTCTCCTGATATTGGCTCTTCCGATTACCATTTGTTTCATTCTTTGCAAAACTTTCTTCTTGGAAAAAAATTTAATAATGAAGAATGCCTCAAAAATGCATTGACCGAATTTTTTGCATCAATATCACAAGAATTTTACAACAGAGGGATTAAAATGCTTCCTGAGCGTTGGGCACAAGTAGTAGAAAACAACAGCACTATATTGTTGATTAAATTTTGTTGTATTGTTTAAATAAATTCCATTTTAAAAAGTATTAGAAAACGACATTAGTTATTACTAGACCTAATATATAAAGTTCAAAAACAGGTGTAATTAATCTGTGGTATTTTAGAAATCAGAACAGTGATTATCCTTTGGCAGGAGAATATCAGGTAGGGAAGCAGTGAATGGAAATGGGTGGGAAATAGACTCTGAGATGCTGGTAATGTTCTTTTTCTTGATGTAAGTGTGGATTACATAGGTTGTTCACCTGTGAAAATTTATTGAACTTTTTATATACAACTTGTGTAATTCTTTGTTTACTTCAATATAAAGTTAAAAAATAAAGGACCTGAGATGATTTTAGAACAATATACTTACAAATGAGAGAGAAGAAAGAAGAGAAAGAAATATTAAGGAGGAATAATTAATAGAACAAGAAAGAGGTAGGCAAGATTGGAGGAATCAAGCTGGTACTTCTCATTTTATACTAAATACATGTATTGTATTTACATTGAAAATGAAATTAACTAAAATATATAAGAATTAGTAATCTACCTTGTGGAATTCTGATACCCACAAGAGAAAACATGAGCACCTCTCTCTGCCATACTTCCCTCTACACTGGGAACCACAAAATGAAGACCTCCTTTTGGCTGATCCAAAGAAAAATTGATGTGTATCTTTAGGACCTTTAATTCTGCAACAAATAAATACACACATGCATTGATACATAAATATATAATTAGTGATCTATGTAATAAGAGCAAACTTACACTGAACATAAAAAGGCTCATGAAAAACCACACTCCTTAACCAAATTCAGGTTTTCGCCATCTCTCCACCGAGGTTAACTCAATAGACTGCCTTCACAGGTGTCCTTGGCTCCACTCAATTCTAGTCACTGCTGTGTTCTTGGAAATGTAGCTTTGGCTATGCCATGTCCTCATGTCAACATTCCTGACAATGCTACACTGCCTAAAGAAAAAAATCACAACTCCCACATTGGACTTATCCTCCTCTTAAGTCCTCCCCTTCTAAGTCTAATTGAAGACTTACTTTTCAGGTTAAACATATGGTGATGGAAGATTTGACTCTGGGTGATGGGCATACAATGCACATACAGATGATGTGTACACTTGAAAACTATGTAATTTTATTAACTAATGTCAGCCTAATAAATTTAATAAAAGTTAAAGAACATAGAAACCCCCTGCAAAAAAAATTTAAAAGCATACAAAAAGCAGACTGACAAAAAGAAAAAAAAAGTTTGTTCTATCATTATATTTCCCCACAGACAGTTAACCATAGTTGACTCTGGGAGTAGATGAAGAAGTGAAGGGTAGATGGGAAAGTTTACTCAAGAATTTACATTATGCATTATTTATTACATGGTGTGTTTTTTGTGGCTTTTTTTGTCTTGCTTGATTTCTACAGAATGTTTTGCTTTCATATTATGTTTAGAAGTTGTTTCTTTTAATTTCCCCAAAACATTATAACCATATGCACTATTTCCAATCTCTGAACACAATAATGACTTTCCATGTCTGTACCCTAAATTAGGCAAAACTCTCCTCAAAATAATACACACACACACAAAAACTAGTAAAAATATGTAAAATCAAAACAAAATGTCTTTTACTTCCTTATCATGGGTAATGTTTATGAGGCCAAATAAAGGTAGGCAAAAATTTATATAAAATAATTATAATGGCTATATATTCAAAAATATAAAAATTTAGAAATAATAAGACTATGTTCAAAAGTATATACAGTGGGTGCTATAAATCCTATGTTTTAGCCTTGACTCTACTATTAATTAATGACCTTCAGCAGGTCACTTACTCTCTTTCAACTTCAGATGACTCTTCTGTAAAAGGAAGAAATGATGATATTTTAGGATCCTTCCTGCTATAAAATGCTGTAATTCTAAACTAATTTGATATTGTGTGGAATCGCAAATCTTGATAAATTGTTCCAGTCATCTGACTTTTTTTTTTAATAACTTTCACTTTAAAAACAACAGTGAAATTAGTTGATTTCTATCACACCCCTTTATTGCTATTTTCCTGTTAGCCTGTGATCCTTAATTGGAGGGAGGGGGTTGAGGAGATTCTAACTTGTGATTATTTAAATTTACAATTTTGACATCATTTTCAGGTCAAGGTTCTAGTCACTGCACCTAACATGATTGTATTGCACATTCAATATAGTCTTTGTATTTTACCATCAACGTGTTTCCATAACTCTGATGGAACCTTAATGCAAAGTTCTCCATTTCCTGCATCAGGATCCACAGCACTCACAGCAGCTGCATAAGCATTGGAAAAATAATTGAGATTTCTCCTGGGAGTAAAAAAAAAAAAAAAAAAAAAAAAAAGAAAATAACTTTAACAATACGCCATATAGTTTACCAAGCATTTTCTTAAATATTTGATATCACAAATAAAGCTGTTATGAACCAACTAGAGGCCCAGTGCACTAATTCATACATCAGTGGGATCCCTTGGCCTGGCCTGCACGATTGGGCTGAAACCAGCTCTCCGACATCCCCCAAGGAGTCCCAGATTGTGAGAAGGGGCAGGCCATGCCAAGGAGCCTCATTGGTGCATAAGTGGGGTCAGGGAGAGACACGGGAGGTTGACCACAGGAAGGCTCCAGGGCATCTCTGGTCCATCTCACTTAATCCCAATCGGCCAGATCCCAGCAGCAAGCTAACCTACCAGTCGGAGTGTCTGCCCCCTTGGTAATCATGGTGGTCAGTGCACATCACAGCGAGCAGTTGAGCAGCCTTAGCATATCATTAACATATTACAATTTGATTGGTTGAACAGCTGATTGGTTGACCACACACTTAGCATATTAGGCTTTTATTATATA